CCGCTTCAGAAAAGGGGGGGGGGGGGCAGGTCACGAGAGTCTTTCGCCCACCAGAAGCTTGACGCGAGGAAGGGGGCGGCTTTTGGCTGGGGAACCGAACGATCACACCCTGGCTCAACATAATCTTCCGAGGCGGCGTCGAGCTAAGCCGTGGGTGCCGAGCCTTCATTGGCGGCTCCCGAGGCGTGGTCGTGATTCTCCGGCGAGATGGAATGGCGGCCGGGAGTTTGGAGAACCACGAATCAGGAGAGCCCGGCTATGGGGATAAGGACCGGGGGGTTCCGTGTAAGATGTGGGCTTGCGGTGAAGTTCCATGGAACCTTACTGATGGAGTTTGACCATGTTACCGGCCTTTCTCATAATCGATTACCAATATTATGGGGGGGGGAAAAGGGATTCAAGAACCTCAAAAAGAATCATCATAACACTCCTTCACCTTTCTGGGGTTTCTCTAAAAGAAATTCTATTGAACGGCATGGGCACAGTACTACACTATCCTCTATTGCTGTTCGAATGAGGTCGATGTGATCCATGATGCACGGCCACGGACCGAGCAGTAGATACCGGCATCACTTGGTACCTCAGGACTCCCGGGCACGGCTTTGGACCCACGGGATTCGAGGAGATATTTGGCCTCGGCAGAGACTGCCGGGGATTGCGGGGCCGACTACCGCTCCGCTCCCCGGGGAAAGGGGGAGGGGCGGGATACCCTGGCGGCATTGAGGAATGGCGATTGGCGGGAATCCATCGGGGCTTAATTTGTTATAAAACAAGCGGTAAATTTCCCTGTTATGAGGATCCGCACGTAGGCCTTGACCGTGGACGTCATCTTCTGCCGTCTTATTTTTGCAGGCTTTCGGTTACGCACGTACGGAATGGAGAAGACTGGAGCAATCACCCCCTATTCGCTGCTAATTTCTTTCACCTGCCTCCCATCGCTGTGTCCGAATGTAGACTCACTTCTGGGTGGCGAGATCTGGCCCATCCTATCTTATCCTATCCAGGCATAGGACCCCACGGCTAGAGTACATACACGAGCCACGAATGAACTACTCCGCGATGCAACAAGAACACTTTACGCAGGAGTGCTACAGGTAAAGCATATTTGTTCAATTGCCTCCCAAAGTAGTGGCCGGTTCTCTGGCGGTTTGAGACGCCATCATAATACCAGTTGCAAGGCTTAATCAATGAAGGAGGACTGTGCAAAAGCCGCCGCCATGCACAATACTCCTCGTAGTGGAACAAGCCCATGTTTGAATGCCGAACTATTGTCAAGATGTCGTCAGTTGCCACTGGGCGCTGCTGCTCCTACACTCCCTTATCCGTCCACGACGTTGAAGCATCATAGAAGAGCTATTAGGTGCCTTGTTCTCCCTCCCTTGTCATCACATGCGAGTCACAGATGGCACAACGAGATGAGATTTGCGTCATTTTCTTACAAACGAGTTGTCCTCAAGTGCTGCCGCCCCTTTGGAGGACCAAGTGTTGTCCCCTAGCTCCAGTCTACCCAATGATAGTCACGACATGGTAGCGAAAAATAAAGCGTCATCTTGCTGACGGTCTTCGAGAGACACCTGCAATGTCGTTGTCAAATTTCGCACAGAGACCTAATAATATCGTGGCGGCGCCGCACTGGGCTCCAGCTGCTTCTAGCCCTGGACCCCAAGAACTGGGGAAGAAGGTCTCGATGACGGATGGCTCTCTTGCGGCCTCGCGTGGGAAAGTTCAGAACAAAAACAAAAACTCCAGAAAGTGAGATTACGAGAAGTGATAGACCCCTCCTTTTGCCTAGTCTCGTATGGAAAACCTCGCTATCTTCAGCCCTTCCTGGCATAGGTTCAGGAGCTCAGCCAAGCCGTCTAGAGCAAGCCCTCGGGATGGGAGGGCTTCGTCTCTGCGAAAGTTTTGGTTTTTCTTCGTATCTGCAAAGTTGCCTCGCGTGGCTCGGCGGGTTTAACGGATATGAGATGTGTGAGAAGGCCGTAGGCTGGCATCACTAGCTCACAATCTGGTAGGGTCTAAATGCGCCATTGATAGACGCCATCGAGAAGCAGGGCTCGGAGACGACGGGCCAGACCCCGGCCAAGCTCTGCGATTGCACTGTGCGTCCTCTGCCACAAATCCGGGAAGATCTGCCCCTTGATCATCGACATGTCTTGGGCGCCTACCTCTCTTTTGCTTGCCTCGGGTTGGCAGCCGTGCCTCGTACCTGGTCTAGTGCAGACGCGTCGCGTCAGGATGGCCATGGTACCAGCAGGAATGTTTGTTGATGGTCGGGAGGAGGGGGGTGTGTGTCGGAACTGAGCCGCTGGTTTAACTGAGTGGCGCAGCCTACTGAATAGACTCAACTCTAATTCGATAACATTGCTTTTCTTACCTGAGAGGGCGTGGGAGGTGTGCGCATCAAGTACTGTACAAGCTGAAGGTGTCTCAAGATAACGGCGCTAGAAGAGGGTTGGTTTAACGGGAAGGGATTGAGTTCCGGTTCCGAGGAATGAAATTTGAGTTGTTTCCAATCCCTGAGGGCGACTCAACACCGTACTGTCTCATCCAGCCTCCATGCCCGATCGGAAAGAGAACAGGGGACTCCTGGGGAGGGATTACCGGTCCCACGTGCTCGGGACGTTGATAAATGACGGGCTAAACGTACGCCAAAGGAGGCTCTGAGAGGAAAGAAAAAGGGTGGTCTAGCTGAAGCCGTCCTGTAGCAGGGGTCGTGAAAAGACGGACTGAGACATGTGGCGCGCGCCAGCCGGTACGGCGGACATGGACTTGGCAACCCCCAATGGAACGGGCACCTATCGTGGAATGGAGACGGGTAAGTCGCGCCGATGTTTCCCGGTGGGTTGTCCTTCACAATGAGTTAGGCCTGGCCTCTCTGTCATGTTGTTAGCCTTCTTCGGCATTGTGGCCGAAAGTCAAGACATGAACCGGTTGACGTGTGTCGGATGAGGCACTCAAAGGCTCGACTGCGGTAGAGCTATCGTTTGACTTACTTTCTGTTATTTTCCATGCGTATCTACCAGGACCGAATGCGAACAGCCAACAGCTGCTGCTAACACCCTCAGGACATTCATCATCCTGAGATATACGGCGCTTGGCAATCATATTGCACACCGAGATGGGATTTCGTCAGCCCTACTAGGCCGCATTACAAGATTGAAGGTTCGCCTTTCCTGTAATAATTGTACAGAAGATCTGCCAAGGCTTATATGGCGTTCTTATCCGGGTGTGGCATTTGCCATCGCACTGCGTTTCGCATGTGTGTGGCTGACTGGGATACGTAACCAAGACGGTCCCTGTAGGGTCGTACAGGTACACATTTATGGCTGGCGGGCGTAAAAGCTATTGTCCAGACGTCGCCATCTGCATGTCTCTGCCAAGTCTGCAGCTTAGAGAATCAGGACAGGCGCGTTACGTTTTGGTGTCTAGTCTGTGTGATCCTCCCTCCAGCTCGCTGGCAGATGAGGCTGCGGATTGCAACACTAGGGTATGCAGGAAGATGGGATCCGGGGAATGCAGGCTGATCCTCTTTAGGAATAGACAGCCTTGGCCGAGGAACAGATTGCCCCTCGGCCTTGGGTCTCGGAATTTGCGACAGCCCGGTTCTCTCGGGTGGTTAAATATCGGTCCATAACCGAGTAGCCAACTATGAGGGTGTTACGGCCTGAGGTTCTCGCGCAGCATACGGGAAAGCTGTGAAGGAAGATGTCTCTGCTGAATATTTGCGTTTGGTGCATTAGTGCATCGGGGCTGAAAGAAGTAGCAGAAGCGGGGCTCAGGAGTCGGGTGCAGAGGCGATCGAGATCACGATGACGACGTGAAGATACGTGTGTCCCGAAACCAAGTTCTTGCGAGCGGCTGAGATCCGACCCTGTACAATTTGTCATGTCGCCATATTTGACTCTCCTGACAGGTAACGGACAGTATGACCTTGGTGACAACCGTTTCATCGGTTTTAGTCTGTGAAACCTTACAACCTCTTGATATCATGAAGCGTAAGACTTCTTTTCATGGTTTTATTTTGTACGCCAGTCGGTGTCAGCAGCCATCTTGGCGAACGATCATGATGCTGATCGAAGAGGGTAATATTGAGATGAGACCAGCTACGCATTCTGTTGTCAAGTATTCCGGTGTTGGATTCTCGTTTTTAATGCTATCTGACTCTTGCTAAACTCAAATTAGAAACATAGCGGCTTGCTGATACGACAAGTATATTTAGGCGAAATAAGACGACGAGGAAAATAGAAGTAATGAGCTATGATATTTTGGCCAGACCACGCCCCATTCATATTCCAACCAGCGTAATCCCGCTTGAAACTTGACCTACACAGATAGCCGTTAATGTTTGGACAGCCTAGCCAGTCGTTACTATTCAGGCAGTTCTTGAACCAGTTGGTTGAGAGTCAGATGTGTATTCAATTTGTACGAGCCACAAGAAGAACATCCCAGCCCCTTTTTTTACTATATGCAAACAAAGTACTGGAATCTTGGTAACTATATGATTGTTTCCTTTTAGCGGGTGCGCACTGGATCCCGGATGTCCGAGTTGTGGCATATCCGCAGGGCCTAATTGTTGCTTCCTCTTACAATATGCTGTATAGAGTCTGCTAGAGCTAGCTATGTTACAAAGCAGCAGTAGGGTTAGTACATCATGGAATGGTATGACCATTGAAGGGAGAAAAAGAGGTTGAATCAACAAAGCTTCATACCAAGCTGACAATGTGGGCAGAGTGGTCAACAATCAAACGGAATATGCCTTTGAATAACTGTGCCCTGGATTACACAGCCAAGAAAGCTGTTTCGCATGTTGGTACATACATATGAGTAGAGCATGTCGAAAGGTAAACGGGGGTATTTGGTCGGTATAACTTATTTCATGTGTTCCCATCGAATGACAGTCAATCATTAGTGCTGGAGAATGGTGTTGCGTAGAAGACATTGTGTTTTCACATGGGCTTGGCCTAGTGCAACAATGATGTATTGTCTACCATGTCGACGCAGCATAGGTCATACAGCTTCACATATATATGCAGAGGTAGCGTTCTATGCAATCGGTCCATAGAAGCTGAAACGTCCGTTGGGGTCGTACTTGGTCTTCAAAGACTTGAGACGGTCCTGGCGCCATTGCTCACTACCGTACCACCCTTTTGGAGATTCATTTCCGAATGCATAGTTGAGGTAGACGTGCTGATCAGTACGTCCACTTCCCTCATGGATAATGTCACGAAGCTGGTTGCCCAGCGCGGCAGCTTGCTCGTCGAGTTCTGCACCGCCAGGGGTATAAGTGATGAGAGGGGCGAAAAGGAGGTTGTCGCCACGGTAAGCAAAAGCCGTCGAATCGCTCTCAATAGCTTTAACGCCTTGAACTGAATAGCCTTCGAACATGAAGAGAGAGTTGCTGAAGGGTGAATCGCCCTTGATAGAGGACGCAAAGAGATCATATGCCTTGCGTTGAGCCTCGATGTTGTATGACTCAACGTAGATGGGAAAGCGGGGGTTATTGAGACCAGCGTTTTGGCAGGGGATAGAGTCAAGGGCGATACCAGTCCATGATGCGAGATCAAGGTAGGTTCCGGACGCAGGAGTTGACGAGATGGGGCCAATATCGCGGAAAGGTTGAGTGTAAACGGGGTCGACTGTGGTGACACCCTCTTGAATGATCCAGAACAAAATGATAGGCTTCAAGAACAATGTCAACAAAGCCTTTGAATGATGTCTCAGATGGAAAGTGCACTCACGTTCTCTGGGTCAGCATCGGGGTTGTTGAGCCAGTACGACCAGTTTACAACACCAGCTGCTTGAGTACCGTTCTTGACAAGATGCTCGTTAGCAGCTTCGTAAACGGCTTCGACCTTGTCGCCGCTGAATATAAGAGTCTCAACCGCCCATTCGCGGTGCTCGATGTCATAAATCTTAACATCAACCGATGTGACGATACCGAAGTTGTGGCCCGCGCCCTTGACGGCCCACCAGAGGTCCGACGTCTCGTTAATGGTCTGCAGGGTTCCATCGGCAAGCACAATGTTGATGGAAACGAACTGATCAGCGACAAGGCCGTGGTGGCCCTGCAGCCATCCGTGGCCACCTCCCAGAGCAGGGCCCAGGGTGCTGACACATTCACACGTTCCTGTTACTGCAGCATTTGTCAATACCACCGGGTGGCGAAGAAATGCTTTTCAACTTACCAGTCTGCTTTCCAGCTTCCCATAGTGTATCAGTGACAAGCTTGGATCCGGTGCCACCGCCAATCTTTGCAGTCTTGCCATCCTCAGAGACTTCAACGCCGCTTAACTGGTTGATGTAGATATCTATACCGCTGTCCATCTTCCCAAGCGTTGTAATGGCCCCATGCATGCCATTGTATGCAAGGAAGGGAACATTCTTGTCATTGGCGAATTTTACCTAGACGATGATCAGTAACAGGCTGAACACAAGCCACGGAAATCAGGTGCCTAGGAAACTATTGTTATTATTGCTTACAGTCTCGGCAACGTCGTTCTCGGTGCCGGGAATAACAACGAGGTTAGGCTTCGGTGCATTCAAGTTGGACCACCGGACTGAGGCCTCGTTGAACTCGGCAGTACCAGGCTCGTAGATCTTGGCGGTAGACGAGAGCCTTTCTCCAAGTTCAGCCGTGTCTCTGCCACAGATACCGCCAAGCAGTTGACGGGCAACGGGAACGTTGAGGCATGCGGCAGTGATCGCCCATGCGCCCACAGCTGCAAGGAACTCCATCTTGAGTCGATGCATCTTGCCAGAGAAAGGGAGACGAAATAGAAAGACGGACTGGCAGAAGATTGGCTTTCACCGCACAAGGATAACTGTTACACCGATTACCAACTTACCACCTAGATCTCTTCGCAAAGATTGGAGAGAATGTGATGATGGTGATAGGACAGACCTCTTGATGGGCGTGGCTGACACTATGCATGTTGCCAACAGGCAGCAGCAACCGTTATTTATTGCACGCGCTGGTGCAAGTAGCAGTGGCAAAGAGCCGAGTTTCCTAGACACAACGTTAGTTGCATCCCTAATTTCGGTTCTTTGCCAAGAGGGCACACCTGCCACGGGGCTATCATGCAGTCAGCGTTGTCCTGTTGTGCCATCGAACCAGCACCAATGGATCAAAGTAGGAAAATCTCCTCACAACCCTGTTCGATATTCGCGCACCGACTGGTATTGGTCTGACTTTCTCGGAGAATGATATCGTAGGTTGCCCAAGTTGTTCACCTTCCAAGGGAGGCATTGATCTGCGCATGACCTCGCAGCGAAGGCTTGCAAGCTTCGAGGGTTCATTCAAGCTTTCCCCTTCTCTTGCCCACAAGCGTTTCCCTTACCTTCTTGTTTCAACCCAGTTGCACAAATGCATTTGTCAAGCTGCCAATCACCATCAGAACCGAAGCGGGTCCATTTGAGCTAGACCGTTGGGTTGAATAGAGGCATATCGTCCCATTGAGGCCCACTGACTGGAACTCCTGCAGCCCGTACCATGGAATATGCTGACCTTCTTACGAGGTAACGCCAAGCTGAAAAGTCAAGGATGAATTTCTGAACGCTACCCGAATGCCGCCATTTTTGATAGGCCTCCTATACCTCTACTCTATGTGCTTGAATGTGTCCCACCACTTACTTCCCCTCCTTCTCTCGGGCAGCCTGTATAGCCTCAACGTATCTTCTATGGGCCGCTGTGGAAGATGGTGTTTGTCTCTTGGTGCGAGTGCGAAATCGCCTAGATTGTCGCGACAGTTATGTCAACCACTGCATGCACGACAGTTGTGCAACAAGCAGTAACTTAACCACTTTGCTGGGAGTCTGTGCCTCACGAAAGCGTATTCTGGAATCTTTGCCTCTCGAGCTGTTCTGACCTGTCATCTGCTTGCTTGGTCCAACTTTCCCGGGCGCATTTTTGTGATCTTTTCATGTTCGGTTGGGTATTGCCGACCTATCACAGCATCATATATTTCCTGATCGAAGGGGTTGCTAGCAATATCCGGACTAGCGAGTCGCCCCCGCCCCCTCATCGCATCAGCCGAGGTACCCTACTTTTATCGGAAAGAAAGGTGTTGAGTGGAGATTGCTGGATACCGGGGAACCTCCTTCGGGGCCTGGAGAAGCTGCACATTCTCTGCTAAGGGGCAAGGATCGGCCCCATTCTTCTTCACCCTAAACCCGCAGCTCGGCGGCGAAGGAGGTGTGTCCTGTAACTGGAAATGGCATAAACGCCGACTATGTGACAAGAGTGAAAGAGGGAGGACTCGGCCTAAAACTGCTTGCGAACACGCGTGCTTTTACACCTAGTTTGGACTCTGGGTGAATGAAGTGCCAGCATATATAGCTGTTCTGGATGAAGTGGGATGGAGAGGGATGGAGACACAAGGGCTGAAATTCCGGAGGCTTCGATCCGGCTCCGTCCGTTTTCTGCCTTGAACAGCAATTGGCAGACGATCGGATAAACGGAAAGAGAGAGGATTGCCAAAAATATGAAGAGAAACAACGCAAGTTGGATGATGCACCAGCGCAACGTCATCCTACGCTGCCACCAGTACTTCCATTGCGAGTCTGCGTATGTACTCGTAGCGTTTTCCAGGAATGGATATTGCCCGGAAAATGTGCCCAAGGATTGTTGGGACCTTGTAGCCGGTAATAGACTTGATCGGCTGTTCCCCCCCCGACACAGCTTTTTGTTGGCGCCGTCACATTTCGCATATGGGCTCATGCAGTTTGAGGTTGCATCAGTCCCTGACCGCATAATGTTTCCTGCCGAGCCGCTGTTTCCTTGCCCATCATCTGGGCTTCCTTCGCCGCAAACGTTTCCACCGACATGTACTTGATTTTGATACCTATTCCTCTGTTGTGGGAGTCCAGTTTGCGCCTTGTGAAGAAGATAGCTTCGACTATCGTGCTTGGTGCCGGTATATTTGTTTTGGTCTGTGATACCATGAAGAGCATATTCGTTATCGTCGTATGCCTCATTCCAAGTCGGGTTCTTGCGAGATTCTATGATCTAAGACTGACGTTCACCAGGATCCTATCAACGGAGCCCAGCTTGCAGGTACATGGGGTACCCGCGAAACATTTGTCGCGGTAGTCACAACGAACCTTCCCATGATCTTTCCGTTGATCAGGACATGGCTCGAGCCTTTCTGGCCGAGTGCTCTGCGTTCTTCCAAGAAGACGTACAAAACACCGAGTGGGTTTCAAACAATAGGTGGCGGCAACGTAAACTCTCGTAGCAGAGATCGTCGGACTGGTACAACCCAGGCCAACCAGGTTGCCTCCAGTCTTACTTTCACCGAAAGCGAAGAGCGAATTATGAAAGCCGTCAAACTGCAAAGCTTCAGAGGCTCTCTGCCAGCTTCTTCTGGAAAAAAATCGCCGGGTGGGATCATAGTGTCCAATGAGATCGAAATCGCCGCCGAGGACAGACATAGTCATTATGGTGAGCAGCGCCCTCAACGTTATATATGATATTACTTGGCAACAAGGGCCGTTTTAATTGCAACCTACTTCAGGTTGATTATTTCATTTAACCAGTTACTACGGGCTCTGTATTCCAAGCTTGTGTTTGTTCAGGACGTTGTCAATGTAACACATCTGCCCTTTTGTTTAGTTAGACGCGAGACAAAGAGTTGGCTTGAAGTTTGAGTATAGTTAAGACTCTGGTTAATGGTCGTCACACAATACAAAGCCTTGAATAATACTACATTAGATTCTTCTTAATAAATGTCTTGATGTTGTTTTGCTACGCTTATCGTCTAATGAGCAACCAAATCATCCCTTCTCGCATTGTGGAGAGTGATTGCGGCGTGCTTAGCATATAATTGGCGTATTAGTCCCGGATTTCTACGACCTTTCGCGTTTGCTAGCCCATAGCTAACTTATATAAAACGCTAACAATGACTCAAGGCTTACGTTGCCAGCCGAAATCGCAAGCTCCGACATCCGTATGACAACAGTATTGGTAACAACGTTTTCTTCGAGGATGATAGCTATCAAAACTGGGCGAGTCTGCAAGGGAATAAGTGGGTACTTCCTTTAATAAGTGTATGTGTGGTGCAATGCTGGCACGAAGTGCCAACACTGGTTGATCTTTTGGGTATTTGCCTGAATGGTCTATGGACGGGCTCAGTACACCACCTGAGTTCCCTGGCAGAGTCACTCCATCCCAGATGAAGAACCTTCTGGTCTTTGAGACGCTTAATTAATTAACTCTTCACCCCTTCAAATGTTAGATATTGCATGACTTGAAATGACATACTATATCAACACAAGCGGAAATGAGGGTATCAGCGTGGAATGTGCTGGTACAACTGTAAGTTCCACTGGTTTACGTGGCTCTCTAGAGCCCAAAGTTGAAAACTACTTTCGTTCTCGCGCGAGAGTTGCGCAGAAGACGACGTGGCAGGAGGGCTAGTATCACGGATAAAACATTCTTATGTTACACCCGAAGAGACTTGGCCAAGTCCCTTGGTGAGTGATAGCATGCTTCAATTAGGCTCATATATGGTCGGTAGTTTCAAGAAAGTGTCCCACATCTGCGGGTGACTCCTTATTTGATCGTACCGGGCGGTACAGCTAAGCATAAAACGGTCCAAAACCGTCTGCGAACCATGTGCAAGGATGCAGCTCTCATTGATATCCTCCTGTCTTGTTTCCTTGCTTCCTGGTGTTCCTACCATTATGTTTCCCAGGGTGCGTCTTGATACCGTCTCAATTACATCACTTGTTATTTCAACATCTGTCTGAGCACTGGCCGTTTCGCAACGACATTAGAAAAGAACGTGGTAATCAAGCAGACAAATTATCATGACCAGTTTTGTATCTCAGCCATTACAAGGCCTATCATATGTGCCATCCGCATGTTAGCCGAGGGCGGGCGGATCAGCCTCAGATGACTTCCATGCATTAATTCAAGTATTTCTTCCAAAGCCACTAAGCAACGTAATCAACTACGGTTGTCCTACCTACACCGCCTACCATCTGCAAGTATTCGGCCTCGCAGATCTTGACGACGCTTCAAATGTAGCCAGCTACACTCTAAGTGCCAGGTCCGAATGCTTTGTGTTTGACATTCCATGCTACAAGTAAGATTATGAGATGTGTCTAAATACTAATGTGAATTCCATTGTATTACGCAAGACTTTCGTCTGTCTGAAGAAGTTTGTCTGGCTATCTAGGTAGTTTCAATAAGCCCGAAGTAGGAGGAAGGATGACACGTGACCAAAGCTCAGCCACAGTGCGGCGTGTGCTTAATCAGCGGGAGTGGCAGTTCCTGCTGTCCCGTTCGCTGGACAGCAACGTGGAAGTCAAGGTCTAGGCCATTGAAACACACAGCAAACACGCGTCGGGCTACTGCGTCCTGATCTGGCCCATCTGCGGCATGACGTCAAACTCCCCTGTCAATGCTCATAATTCAAGGCAGTAGAAGCTTCAAGTCCCAGAGCCCGTTCGACGCCCAGTTCCAACAAACCGGTGGCCGCGCATCCAGGGATTCATTCATTCGTCTTAGCGTTGCGCCATTCCCAGAAACGGGGGCTCGCATGTGCTTTTCAGGCGAGCAGGCATCGAGTGACGCCCGAGGGGCTGGAATGCCGCGATCCGGTGGTTTGATTTGCTGCATCGCCGTGTCAACTTCCGAAAACTTAAGCCGATTCTGGGAAACATGGCAGCCATGATATGATGGCTCGTAAGATTTGTCAATGGCGTGCCAGGCGGCATAAGCAGTAAATGACGCGCGCTTTGTTCGCTGCGGTGAATACGACGGGGAGTCGTCTACCATGAAAGATGTCCGTCCCCTCGTACAACATGTTCCCTTCCTCTTCCCGACTCCTGATCAAGCGCCGCCAACTCGCCTTTTTACCCCTCCTCAACTCCTCATCCTGATTTTGCAAGTATCCCCAAGCCACGTACAAAGTACCCGTCGACCGCGACGACTCAATTGCCCATCATGGGAGACCAGGAACCGACCCCCGAGAACCACACCATGATGCAGGGCTTCGAGTGGTACGTCCCTGCCGACCAGAAACACTGGGTGCGATTGGAGAAGCACGTTCCGCAGCTCAAGCAATTTGGAGTGGACAACATTTGGATCCCGCCAGCGTGAGTCTCCTCTGGTCGCTTCAATACCACCGCGAGCGGCTAGCTGACATCCAATTCTAGATGCAAGGGCTCATCCAAGACAGGAAACGGCTATGATATCTATGATCTGTATGTCCCCGGACGGCACTCTTCAACTCGAGCAGCCAAGCTGACTTTGAAAGCTACGACCTGGGCGAGTTCGACCAAAAGGGCTCCGTGGGGACCAAGTGGGGGACAAAGGAAGAGCTCCTGAAGCTCGCACATACCGCCAAAGACAACGGCGTTGGCCTTTACTGGGACGCTGTCCTCAACCACAAGTTCGCAGCCGACCGCAAGGAGAAGTGTCTCGCTGCCGAGGTCGACCCCGAAGACCGCACCAAGTTCGTCAGCGACAAGTACGAGATTGATGCCTGGGTCGGCTACGATTTCCCTGGCCGCAATGGCAAGCATAGCGACATGAAGTATCACTGGTATCATTTCAGCGGCGTCGACTATAATGCTAGGAACGAGAAGACCGCCATCTACAAGATCCTGGGTGACAAGGGTGACCAGCAGTGGGCGGACAGCGTCGATAACGAGAAGGGAAACTAGTAAGTTTTCAGCAATTTGCTTTTCTGGCTGCGCGTCTCTTACTGACGCTTTCGTGTTTCCAGCGATTTCCTGATGGGATCTGACCTCGACTACGACCACCCCGAGGTCGTAAATGATGTGCTGAACTGGGGCAAGTGGTTGGCAAAGGAGGTGCCCCTCATGGGAATACGGTTTGACGCGATCAAGCACTATAGCGAGGACTTCTTGCGTCAGTTCATCAACGAGCTGGACAAGGAGTATGGCCAGGGGTGGTTCTTCGTGGGCGAGTTCTGGAAGGACAGTCTCGACGACATGTCCGAGTACCTGGCGCGGATGGGCAGGCGCTTCACCCTCTTCGACGCCCCCCTGGTCTACAACTTCAGCGAGATCAGCAAGGGCGATGCCGCCGATATGAGAAAGGTTTTCGATGGAACTCTTGTGCAAAAGGAGCCAATCAACGCTGTGGTATGTTTCCAACCCTCCAATCTCTTGGATGCAATCTTACTTTGGCAGACTTTGGTAATGAACCACGATACCCAACCTTACCAGGCGCTAGAAGCTCCAATCGAACCCTGGTTCAAGCCCATTGCTTACGCTCTTATCCTTCTCCGCACAGAGGGCTACCCCTGCGTCTGGTACGGCGACATCTACGGCATCAAGGGAGAGCACCCCTTCCCCCCGTCGTGCGGCGGGGCTGTGCCCAAGATGACGCTTGCGAGGAAGCTATATGCCTACGGAAAGCAGGCCGATTATTTCGACTACCCGACGTGCCTCGGCTGGGTCAAGTACGGAACTTGGGATCGTCCCTTCGGTTGTGCCGTCGTTGTGAGCAATGCAGGCCCCGGGTCGAAGCGCATGCACGTTGGTGAGATGCATGCTGGTGAGGTGTGGACTGATGTTCTTGGGTGGAATGACCGGGAGGTCACCATTGGCGATGACGGTTTTGGCGAGTTTGTCTGCTCCGGCACGTCTGTGAGCATTTTCGTGAATCGGGAGGCGGACGGCAGGGAGAAGTTCAACAAGGATTTGTGAGTACCATTCGCTCCTTAAACGAGAGCTTATAGACTAACTTGGCGTAGTGACTCCAACATCTACGAGGAGTAGGTTGCAAGATACCTCTAGCCCACTGCCACATGGATTTATTGTGGCAGATCTCAAATGAGGCAACGGTATTCTGGACATTGTAGAATGGACGATCATAACTATAGAAAACGCATCCTAAATGTAGACACTATAATAACCCAGCCATTTTCATTCATCACTAACATGTATGAATACAAGCCCGAGCCCCAGACCCTAATATGGGTGTCCCACATAGAACGAAAGCCCATCTGCATTCTTCGTGACTGAACAAAGCCATTATTAACCCCATCATCGGGCGGCCGCGAGATGGATTCCGGCCTGGTGTGGGCAAACATCGTGCACGCAAGACAGTGACCCGCGCGTTCCTTTAGGCGTCGTGAAGCGGAGTTGAATGGGCAGAGAGTTGTGCGAGGTGGGGTTTGCGCCATGCAGTCAAATCAAGACTGTCTACGTCAACATGGGTGCAAGATGGTATGTAGTTCTGCTTTCACTTGCCTAGTATTGAACAGCACCTGGAAGACTCTGATTGCGTACTCGCAAAAAATCTACCTCCTGAAAGTTATGGATTTGGTCTGTGACACGCATCAGAGGCTCGGTTCCCCTGACTGCGCCCAACTGTCGTCCTTATGTGGGGATTGGTGAGGCCATAAGGTAAAGCTCTCGGCCCTTTCAATGGAAGATACACAGCCGTCTTCGATACAGCTTCCATCATATACCTCCTCTTGCTTTAACATCATCTTATATCACTGTTTTCGATAACAAGGAAGAGCCTTTCCAGAAATGCCTCTAATACCGTTACTGTTGTGACACCATCATCTGGTGTACCATGTGACCCAACTAGGGCACAGAGTTTAGCACTAATAACGTCGTTACTCTAATGACTCTTGTAGTCACATATAACATGGAGATACGCTCCGGCCCTCACTAGGACGCTTATAACTTCAAATCTGTCCCTTGTTTAAAAGCCATGTGTGCTATTGCCCCATCGTCACAGCTTTGCCAAAATCAAGACAGACATGGCACTTCATTCTCGCTCCAAGCTTATCCATAAAACGCAATTATCAATTATCCCGCCTCCTAAAACTTTCATGCTATTTTCATGCATCGAGCCAATATCACAGACAGGTTTGACTGCAGTTGTGGGGTTACAGCTTTAGACCAGCTAACAATACTGAAAAGTTGAGATCGCAAGGTCACGTTATGCATTCAATGCTAGTCAGCTAACAACCGAAGTTATGCTATATTTTCTTAAAAAGGCGGAACAACAGTCAATCAAGGAGGATTGGAGTACAGTACAAGGAGGCGTTGTTATAGGCAACAACTGCATTGTTCTCGTTGTCTTTGTCCTTTATTTGTAGGTAACTGCTTTATAAAGCAATTTGAATAACTCGGCATTTGTATGCAGTCTGGAATACTCGTGTTTCGGCTAGAAAGAACGATGTCAGACTGGAAACGAGGAAAGGAAAGGACGAAATTTGGGAAACGGCGAGACTGGGAAGGAGGGACCTCTCCAGTCACTTCTTTCCTTTTCAAATTTCGAAGCCTTCACCTTTCTTGATTTTGTTTTTTCTTTCCATCTTCTGTTTCTGACAAGTCCGTTTGCCTGTCTTCAAGCCTTGCGTTGCTCCTGACTGATAACCCATATCTTCTAGGTTTCACTTCGAGAAAGTTCGGCTCTTCACTTGGCACTTTTCCTTTTTCTTCGACTTCATTATTCTTATTATCCATACTACTTTACTTTGCTTCTTCACCTCAACTACTCATTATTAAATCTCTTAATAAATTGGATCCTCCACTGCCGATGATGGATTCCGACGATGAAGACTCTCTCTTTGGCTCACCGCCAATGTCGCCGACGAGGCAGCCGAATGAAAACACGATTGGTACTTTGAGAGACGAAACTCCTCTTACTCTACCCAGAACAGAGTTATCCTCATCGCCAGTGGCTGATGTGGAGACCTTCGCGAGCTCTTCTCCGACGCATGGCCAGTTGGCTATGCCGGCCTCACTTCAAGACGCCCGTGAGGCTCCTGCACGCGCTTCAGGCTTCGACAACACCTTTACACCCACCGCCATTTATCCACTTGCTGATCAGCGAGCACAAGTAGAAATGGATCAGTCTAGACCGCCAGTGTACAGCTCGCAGATATTGGAGGCCCTCAGGAACACTACGGGCCCCGTTCGTCTCATTCCGACTTTGCCCACGAGTGCTCCATTCACCCCTGCGACTGTAGCGGATACCACATCCGCTTCGCTATTATCCCCAAATCACAGCTTTATCCAGCAAACCGAATATTCTACTCCATTGAACGCTGTTGCAGGAAGCTCACCTCATGACTCTGTTGCCAGCAACGACGCGGTGGCGTCGAACTACGCCGCCGCTCACGGTCTGAAGAAGTGTACCAAGTGCAAAAAAGACAAACCGCTATCAGATTACGAGTACATGAGTCCCATGGGACATCAAGTGCCTCGTTCTCAATGCGCCGACTGTCGAGAGAAGAGACGCGTCTCAGCTGCGCATGCCAAGATCAAGAAGGATGGAATTCGAGCCCAGGCTCGACTCCAGGCACAATACACACAGCAGCGACAGCACCAGCGGCAAGCTTCGGGAGGGTCTCATGGCCTGGCTACTCAGACGAATTTCTTGTATCCCCTTGGCCTTAGTGCGACGACGTTGTCACCCGTCCCAGATGGCAACGCCGACACGATCGTCCAGGACCCGTCCATGACAACTTTGTTTAGGCACATGCCCATGTATCTGTCCCCTACGACCTTTCCAGATCTTCAATATGATGGACTCCCAAATCTTCCGGGTGTAAGTATACTCAGTTCCTGGCTTCTCAGCTGTACTTACTGACATCCTTAAGCCCGAAGGATGCCGTTCAGTTGCAACTTTTGGCCCGTCTACTCCCCCCTCATTGATGGTCCCTGCCTTCTCTGGCCTGTCTTTTGATAGCTCTCCTGCTGGTACACAGATGAGTCGAGATCTCGAGGTATAATTTCTGGTTGTTATACTTCATATTGTCACGCTGACTGGTTCCGCTTAGATGCTTGAGTCGGACTTGACACATGCTGCCAATCACACGTCGTCACGATTACCGTCACCCAGCTCCGTCTTACCACTTGATCCGACCGCAGAGTCGATTGCTGTCCAAGAGCAGCCGCAGCAGCTGACAAACAGCTGCCCTCATGGCACCCTCGTCACTGTCCAGATTCTCCCAGTGAGCCTGGCCGAGGCAGATATAGACCTGCTCCTCAACCAAGAGATGGAGAGGTTCCGCTATGGCCGCAATAATTGTCGCTGGCTGAAGAAACAGGACGAGGCAACTGTGAAGAAATGTTGGCGGAGACGGGAGGCGGCGATTGTTCTCGGACTCGTCGAAGTGCCCCCTCCCAACTTGCAGCCCAGGATTGGATTTGTCTACTCCGAAGGCTCGCATGATATTGTGCCAGGCGGTAATGATGATTACGAGGAAGATAATTGAGTTGGAAACTCGGTTTTTTATTCAAGTGAAGGAATATGAGCTGGGCTGTGTTGCACCAAGGACTGCTCAGGCGACCAGGGGAGGCTCATTAGTTAATTGATAGTCGGTGCCACCCATTGCGGTTTTCTGAACAGAGTTCTTTGGTTATCCATGATTGACCGATACGGTAAGCTTATCTCCTAGCTTTGATGCCGCAACAATACCGAATTGCCTCACAATTCCTCATGTCTTCGGGAATTATGATCTGTCAATTGAGGAGCGAAGCTAATGTATTGAAAACAGACAAACACAATCGCGGTCCGTTCTTGCGGCTTAAGAGCTATTATGCAGAGTCAGTTGTTGGATGGTGATGCATATCAAAGACAACGCTCCTATACACCATGGAATATAAGCTGACACCAGCAGTCAATACCTAAAGTTCAGCGAATTGGGCATGGTCATGTTTTTCAGTCAGCGAACAATCAAAAACGCTGGCTTAAGAGCGGCATACATATCTTCAGCCACAGTGCTGGGATTTTCGTGAACCTGGAAGGCGAGGCTGTTCATTGAGAGTTATGCAGACGCTTACGGCAAGCGTCACCAGGAATGATCTCAATTGAGCGATGATTCATTCCAATAGTCCCTCAATATCATTTCTTTGAATGCGTCCTAAGATATTTGTGGTTGGTCTGACTTCATGATGTCACCACTATGCTGTGCGTCAACAACGTCATTTTGAGTACGCCGTGCGCCAAAGATGACGCACGCAGACTTCTCCAATCCTATAAGAGTACAGGCCAGAAGCCTCTGCAAACCGCGTTTCTTCATCGCACAAGACAAAATGAACAGAATCGCCCTTAGACAAACCAGAGCTTTCGTTGCATCAGCATCAAGAGTCAGAACCATGTCGTCCCAAAACCCCATCCACGACGCCGCCAAGGCAGCCGGCCAGAAAAAGGACACTAGTCCCGCGAACCCTAGCGTCATCTCCTCTGAGGGCGCCATCGGCAAGCAGTTCAACCCTGATGGCAACATTGGACAGATTGGTAGGCCCGAAGCCCAAAATAGTTCATATGTTTAACACTCACTAATTCTCAATTAGGCGAGGCTATCGGCGGACCCTTTTCCAAGGATGGAGCGATTGGAAGCCAATTCGATGCTAGCAAGGATGGCATCGCTGGTACCGTAGAAAAGGCGGTGGATGGACCTAGGAACCCGGCAAAGAAATAGACTTGTGTCTTCTGATGGAGCAAAGACTGATCGAGCCACCAAGACCTCCTCATACAGGGGCGTGACGGGACTCATAATATAAACCTGAAAACAATCCTAACGTTGGCTCTTTTGTCGGTGACAGATGTTATGCATGGCACTGTTACTTATTTTCACTATGTTCAAGTTATGATCTCTTCTTATTTATCAATGAATCATATAGCTTGTTATGGATGCTCAAAGAACAGCATCAGGATTATAATCAACAATGCGAACTGTTCATTGAACATTTACGCCATTCCTGGACGTTGAATAGCATGTTAGCCCAAGCCCAGTTACTTATCACTGTAAGTTTCTAGTTCTGAGATGCTTTGTAATTCATGACACTGCTGTTGCTCTCTGTGCTGGTATCAACAGCCTAGTCTGTGTAAAGACCTGTCTTACTTGGCTGGACACTGCCTTTGAACATAATTAAACACTTGGGTCTTTAGAACCTGCAATATTGAAATGGGGTTGTGGCAGTAGCTTCAGTTCTTGTCTTCTCGCATAAACTATAAAATTTAAGATTGATATGCTCCCCCTAGTTATCGAGGATATCAGTTTCTCTTCTGAGGACGTGGGTAAGAAGAATCTGTAAAGTTGCTGAACAGGCTCTAGTACAATCATACTGAAATGATAGGGTGAACCGAAGATTCATTTTTGCAATTAACCTTTGACAACAAAACTTGGTCGTTGTATGGATAGATATACTCTGTTCAGTAAGCTTATGTGTCAGTTCGGTCCAAGCATATATTGGCCCCGTCCTGGGAATAACTGTCAGGTGGTATCCAGTCTGAGCCCTTTGTTCTGGATATGCTGAATTCTGAGTGTCGTATGGCCATGTGACATTGTTGGTCCAATATAAGTGGTATATATTGTGATTTCACACTTCTAGCCTTAGTATCCGGGCCATGAAAGTATACCCTTGCCAGCCCGAAGAATATGTTTCAAGATGCTGCAATCTAATAGAATCGCCAAATGAACTATGTCATGACTTGCAGGATGGCGAATGTGTTGAAAGGACGACCAATAAACTGTTACGCTGTAAAAGCCCGATCCAAGTCAAATCCATGATTGATCCAGTCTGGGCCAACCCAAGTGGCTCATCTAGCAGGGGACGTCAAACACAACTTCACGTAAGCAGAGCTTATGAGAGTTATCTTTCAAGAATACGTATTGAAAGACGAGGCAGACAGGCAGAGTCTCTTTCAACTGCGAAAACCCCTGCTGTAAATGATGATACAGTTCTTGGATTGGCTCTCACTCCTAGGGATGCTGGCTTACCCACGGACCGACTTCCGGCTTAGCATCTTGGCCAGTGGCAGTGGTTTATCAGATGCATCAAGTCGCTTTCACATAAGCTTTAACCAGGTTTTTTCTGGCTTTCGGACAGCCACCGGGCCGCCTCTTCTATGGCAACTGACAATTTAATTACGTTCAGAGGCTGAATTGTCTTCTCATGAGTAGCACTCACATGCTCAACATTCATATTAACTCCATGGTCGTAACCCAAACTCCAAAAACGAGACGGCTAGCAACCCGAAGAGCTCGGAACCCGTCTGTGCCAATCATGAAAAGGCAGGCGAGCGAGGAAGTTTGCCCAATTACCTACAAAAAGTAACAGCACATATCAGGCCTGCATCGAGACATTGTTCTTCCCAGTTTACGCATGGAAGCCCACCTAGGCAGACTTTCAGTGACTCTGCCAAACAGGAGCATGTGAGACAGGTCTTTGCCAAGAGGAATATCGATTTGTATCCAAGGCGGAGTAGTTGCCGATCGGCTAGGCGCGGCCAGCCTGCGAAGCAGCCTGCAGCCCTCCAGCAACTACGCATCCGCATGTTCCGTTCGTGCCATACATCAAGGAGACCACGTAGCCAATCGAGGCTGTGTATGAGAAACCAAGATGCTCGTCCAGCCGAGCACTGTCTTGGTAGTGTACGTGGAATGCGCTACCAGATATGCTGCATACGGGCCAAGGAAAGCAACGGTCGGACAAGGTTCAAACCGCCCCCAGTCTGCCTACCCCGCGGCATCCACATTGGAGGCCATGACTTGGGCGGGATGTTTAGTGTAGATTTCCCACACCGACCCTCTCAGGCAACGATGTAGAGGGGGGAGATCCAGAGAAGAGGGTGCGGAGAAGGGCACGATGTGGACTCGGCGCCGGGAGACGGGATGACATGGGCGCCGCGCTGCACCCATACTGCATAGTACTGGCGTCGGTCAAATCATACCAGAGTGCATAAGCTGTCTCAGCCTTTTCTACCGCCTTGCGCAATGGTTCCCCATGCAATCGGGTAGCCGCTTACTCCCATGTCCATCTGATGCTTCCCTCTCGTCTCTGCCCTCCCCCAAATTCAGTAAAAGCAAGTCTCGCGCCTCGCTTTCTGAGTGACGAGCACCCTACATTCCGCTGGGGTCGCATCTGAAGTAGGGCCGGCCAACCTTACGCCCAGGGATGAAGAGGAGAGGTAGCTGATACTAGTGCCCCCAGGCACCGGCGGCCGGTAACGCTAGCACTGATCCTAGTCGACGGATTGTCTTGTCATACGTCGCTCTCTCCATCCTCCGCGTGCGTCGGGATCCCATGGAGACATGATTCCTAGCTCTTGTTAACACATACCACCCTTGAACGCTGCCCTCTCTCTCGCCCTCTCCCTGATCCTCATGCAGCCCACATAGTGTAGACGCTCCTCAGATTCAAGATTTCGAGCAAAACTGGGTGATCTGCATAGCAAATAAGCCTAACCCCTGCTTCCTGTACTCCCCGCCTAACCCGGTGAGCCACGGAGCTCGCTACCCATCACCTGCCCCCGTCTGACTATCTCTATTACCCCGAGCCAAGCTGCAGCTTCTCCTCCCCCAGAACGCCCCCCGCCCTCGTATTTACTTTGTGTCAGAAACGAACAACAAACAGGAACACCAAAAAAGTTCATTCCTTCCCTTCTGCTCTCGCCAAGCAAGCCTGCGGTACGCCTCGCCTTCGCCCGGTCTGACAGCCAGCGGCGGGCTGACGCACAATGATGCGTGACAGGGAATTGAATGAGCAAGGTCTTCAGATACCGGTATGCCTTGCGATTGGGATGAGCCAAGATGGGCTATGTTAGACTCTAATTCTTTTTCCAAAAGAGACGGGCACTAGTCGTATAGCGACCGAGTATATGAGGTCTTGAATCTCCCTTCGTCCCGGGCGGCCGTGGAGAGAGCTGTGGTCTGTCGTTAGATCCATCTTTCGTCGTTTGGAAAAGTACCGCTCGTAGCTCTCAATTGACCCTGGTTTTGCCTTCTCGTGCAGTGCAGCCTTGTCATATGCTTTTTGTTTGCTTCTCTTGTTCGAGACTGAGGTCCACGATGCAGCTCGCCTTGACGCTCCTGGCGCTCGCCGCCGGCGCTTCGGCCGCGCCGCTCAAGGGCATCGACCGCGCGACCATTCAGACTGAATACGACTTCATCATCGCTGGAGGTGCGTCGAGCGTCGTCTCCCCGTTGTGACCCTACCGGGTGCGGAAATACTGACGCAAAGGTCACCCCCCACCCCAGGCGGCACAGCCGGCCTCGTCCTTGCGAACCGCCTTTCCGAGTCCGGCAAGCAGCGGGTCCTCGTCCTCGAAGCGGGGCCGAACCCCGAGGTCGTCTCGGCCTACAAGCCGCCGGGCGGCAACCAGTTCCTCGGCGGCACCGCCATCGACTGGTCCTTTTACACCACCCCCCAGGAGCACCTCGACAACCGCATCCTCAGCTATCACCGCGGGAGGTGTCTCGGCGGCAGCAGCGTAATCAATGGCTTCTACTACGGCCGCGGCAGCGCCTCCGTGTACGACGACTGGGTCAAGATCGGTAACCCGGGATGGGGGTGGAGCGACGTCTACCCGTTGTTCGTCAAGGTAAATGCCGCTTCTTCATCTTTTTCGATTTGATTCTTTCTTTTTTCTTCCCGCAAACCGACATTGGGCATGTCGTTCTCGAAAAAAGCGATTGACTAAACCCAACTCCCAGGGCACGCACTTCAACCCCCCAGACGACCACAAGGCCAAGGGCTTCGACACCTCCTACAAGACCCACGAGCCCTCGGCCTACGGCGACGGGCCCCTCCAGATCGGGTTCCAGGGATACGTGCCGCCCTCGGGCGTCGGCTTCATCGAGGCCGCCGCCGACGCCCTGCAGATTCCCATCGTCAAGGACTACAACACGGGCAACAGCACGGGCGTCAAGCAGGGCACCGGGCACCTCGACGCCAAATTCATGCGCAGCTCCAGCTACGACAGTTACCTCAAGCAGGCCCTCGGCCGCCAAAACCTCGATGTGCTGTACTCGGCGCCCGTCTGGAAGGTCAACTTCGACACGTCCAGCGGGAAGCCCCGCGCCCAGGGCGTCGCCTTCATGGACCACCCCACTGGCGCCGTCTACGAGGTCAAGGCTAAGAAGGAGGTCATCGTCAGCGCCGGTGCTTTCAACTCACCTCAACTGCTGATGGTTTCTGTAAGTTTTCGCCAGCGCCCCTCAACGTGGATGCACGTCGTTGGTTCTGACGAAAGACACAAGGGAGTCGGCCCCTCCGCCCAGCTCAAGGAGTTCGGCATCGAGCCCGTCCATATCAACGAGAACATCGGCCAGCAGTACGTCGTACTCCCCTCTGCCCTCCTTTCTTTTGTCTCCTGCCCCCCCTGCTGACCAGGGCATTCAAGCCTCAACGACCACTCCGTCTTCAGCATCATGGCGACCTCGACCCCCGAGTTCTCCACCTCGGACATGGCCGCGACCTACGCGGCCCTCCGGGATGCCCAGAACGAGTTCTACACCAACGCGACGGGCCAGTACACGGCGCCCTCGGGTATCACCAACGCCTTCCAGAAGCTCTCAGAGGACGAGCTCAACAAGATCGGCGCGAGCGACATCGTCAAGGCGGGACTCGGGAACCAGTCGCACATCGAATACCTCTTCGAGAGCGTCTTCTACCCCGGCGGCCCCACGCCATATTACACGCCACGCAGCAACGAGACGTACATCTCCCTGACGGCCTCGAGCATGGTGGCGCTGTCCAGAGGCAACGTCACGCTGCGGTCGAGCTCCATGGCCGAGTTTCCCAAGATCAACCCCAACGTAAGTGCTGTCAGCCCTCTGTTCCTCCCCCCCCCCTTTTCTCTTGCTTCTTCCCGTTCGCTTCACTCGGCTTGCTCCGACGAGGTATCACGATCGCGACGGCGGACCACCAAGTAACTAACCAGCCTCTTCCCGCAGTACTACGCCCACCCGGCGGACCGCAAGATCGCCGTCGCCTCCTTCCGGTACCTTCGCAAGATCCTCTCGCACCCGCGCATGGCGCAGTTCACCGTGGGTCCCAACAAGGGCGAGGTCTCCCCCGGCGCGTCCGTGACGGACGACGACGAGGACGCCATCCTCGCCTACGTCCGCGCCAGCACGATCCCCAACTGGCACGCCTCGGGAACGAACCAGATGCGCCCGGAGGCCGACGGCGGCGTCGTCGACCCCCGGCTGCGCGTCTACGGCGTCGACGGCCTGCGCGTCGTCGACTGCAGTATCATCCCCGTCCTGCCCGACGTCAACATCGTCGCGTCCGTCTACATGATCGGGGAGAAGGGCGCCGCGCTGATCCGGGAGGACTGGAACGATTCGTGAACGAGCTGGCGATGTACATGACTGGATTCTTTTCGTCCCATTTTTCTTCTTCTTCCTTTTAGGGTTGGGAGTCGAATCCCGCTATGACATAGAATGGGCGCTCTTCAATACACCGCTCTTCTTTGTTGTGCTGATTGACAACGTTTCAGCCTCATCATTTCCGTTTGGACCGCCATGAGTTTTGTAGTTTATCGGCATCGACTCTTACCTGACCATGAAAATGACTCAGTCATCATCACTAAGCTCTTGGTAGCAACTTACACACAGCAATGATATGAGTCCGGGCATCACACCCATTGCTCGATCCATGCAAACGAATCGAATCGTCGATCCCGCAGCCAGCCCCCGCCCATCCTGCCATCTCAACTCTCCTAACTCTCCGTGTATGAGTTCCTCCTGGGTTGGAGATGCATGTTCCCGAGCGATTTCCACGGTCCTGGGCGGCAAGTGGGTGAACTATGGATGGGGTCACCGAACAGCATGGCGGCCTGAAACATCGACTTCCGCCGTCCCTATGTTCCAGTAGCCAATCAATGGTGGTGGTACAAGGCGACGGCGGATGGAGGCCTCTGGCCGGGGCGGCTTTTTGGACGCCCTGCTGCTGCTAGGCCCCTCTGCCCCCTCCCCCGTGTTTTGCAATGGAACGGTTCACCTGAGGTATCAGCGATGAGACATTGTTTTTACCTCACCTCGTAGATTCGGGATTGTCCCGCTCCCGTTGTGCTAGAGTTTTTCTCGGCCAAGATGCCCAGTGCCTTTTGCGTTAAAACCATCCAACCCATAAGAGATCTATCTTTTCCGAGAGAGGCCCATCCATAGACTGCGCTTGTTTCAAGAACGAGACGGTCGTGAATGGATAGTCAGAATGGGGTGGGCGTTCTGTAAAACCAACGCGACATTTCGTGCATCAGTTTGTTGTATGGACCTGTATTATACCATGGTGAGACAAGTTAGGAGTATCGGGCGGCCATAACGGCACGGCAGGACAATTATGGCGTTCACGCTAGAAACAAGTGAGGGCGGTTTTTGGATTCTTTTTGTGGTGTTCTTTTTGATTGAGTAGCGTGAGCACCCAATCCTATCTAGTACACGATGTTCATGGCTAACCCCCATGATCCCGCATCTTACTCGCCAATGTAAAAATCATCAATCATACCGAACCTGCTGGTCCCTATAGAAATATTTTCATCCGCCACGACACAAAGACAAATAAGAAGAGTGAATAAATGCCTATCCCGGTTTGGGTGTAGTTGATCCCAATGTCAATCCCAACGCCCAAACCCCAGATATCAAGCTAGTATATGCACAGAAATGGTATAGCGAACACAATGCCCGCAATAATGGTGCTAGAGTGAAGGTGGAGTAACGAATGTGAAATTAGAGCACAAGCGACTCTAGTCTTGCAAGAACGGGTTCGAGGCTGGCTGCGATGCGTTGCACCTTAGCCATAGCCACACAGGCGTTTTGCTCCTCTTCTGAGGCATCGATCAGTTCGTAGCGGGCAAGAACCTTCTCGGTCTCGACGCCACCGAAGATGTCGACGTGGGAGAAGACTTCAGTGTCCAATTCCACAGGGCCTTCGGGAGCAGGGACAGGAGAAGAATGGTAGAGAGCGAATTCGGGATCGTTCTCGAACTCATCGTCGAAGACTTCCTCTTCCTCAACGAAGGGCTTAGCCTTGACCTCAGGAGCAAGGACCTTGGGAGCCTCGATGGTGGGGAGCTCGATCTTCTCGTCGTCCGACTCGAACTGCTCACCGACGAAGTTGGAAGACTTGCCAGAGAGAACATTGGTATCGATGGTGACGGGGACATCGGGGGTCTCGAGGACGGCAAAAACCTGGGGCTGGAAGTTGTAGGCATCGTTGTCGATGTTGAGCATGGCGAAGTCCATGTTCTGCTCCGGGAGCATGGCCACGCCAATCTGCTGCTGCTGACCCTGGTTGGCGTAGGGATTGATGTCCTTGGGGATCTGACGCTGCTCGGGTTGTCTCTCGACCTTGACGGGAGCGGCAGGCTGGGGAGGAGCCTGGGGGTTGGTGCTCAGATGGTCGAGGAAGTTGGAGAAGGACGGCGAGGCAAGGAGCATGCGAGTGAGATCTTGCAGGCGCTTGTTCTCATCCTGAAGGGCGCGGTTATGCGCACGGAGGTCACCGTTCTCGGTAACCTTGTTGGCGATCTCGGCCTCGAGCTGAGTGATGTATTCTAGCATTGGTTAGCGGGTGCTTGTGGGAGGTAAACGAGTATTGAACTTGCCCTTTCTGCGGGAACGGAAAGCACGGGCGGACACCTTGTTACGGAGCTGGCGACGTTCCTTGCTGCTGAGCTTCTTGCCCTCCTCGCTGGCAAGAAGTCTCTCATCCTCATCCATATCCTCCTCATCCTTCTTGGTCCGTGGCAGATTCATGAGGGGAGAGGGGCTTTCGCCGTCCTCGCCGGATTTGGCACGCATGGAGTTGAGGAGCTGAGTAATCTTTTGTTCGACGATAGGGTCGGTAGGCTGTTGGCTCTTGGTGCGGGGCTTGTTGCCCACTTGCTGCTGTCGTTGCTGCTGCTGCTGAATGATCTGTTGTTGTTGCCTCTGCTGGGCCTGGGCCTTGGCGAGAGCAGCCTGAGAGTGCATGCCAGGCCAAAGCCTGCCAACGTTGCTTTGCTGCGTCGGAGCGATTGGTGACCCCTGGCCGGCGATGGCAGCAGGGTTGACAGTAGGGTTGGGGAAGAAGTATTGAGAGTCGGGCGGGGAGTCGAACTCCATGTCCATGTCGAGGCCTGCGGAGTTCTGCGAGGGAGAGGTGTTGAAGTCAAAGAGTTCGTTCTCGGGGCTCAAGCCATTGCCAAGATAATCCATTCCGTAGCCGCTGTTGTAGCCACTAATGTGGGGGTTGATCTCGTTCACGGCCAGCGTGCTGGCAAGTGCGCCTGGCACAATGCCGGTCTGCTGCTTGTAAAGGTCGTACTGATGGCTCGGGCCGGTGAGGGGTTGCGATGCCGAAGGCAGAGTCGGGGTGGCAACGGTGCTCACTGACGGGCGAGAGAAGGTGTTCTTTGCGGTAATGGCGGGAGAGAGCGAAGGTGACTGATAGGACATGTTGTCGTACTCGCTGAAGTCGAGAAGGGCGTCGATGTTATCGACGTTCTGGTTCGAGGTTGACATCGCTGCTGAGTGGAAGGGTTCGATCCCTCAGGTATCGATATGTAGGATGGTGGATTCAGGTCCGCGCCAGATCTACGGCGAACTTCTGTTTGCGTTTGGTGAGACCCCGTGAACGACGGGGTTTGGATGTTGACGGGGAGTGTTGGGCGGCAGGAGCGACTCGGTGAATGAGGCTCTTGACGATGTAAGTCTATGCCTGAGGTGGGTTGTTTCGTTTGGTGGTTTGGTTGAAAGGAAGAAAATGAAGTCAGAAATGGTCGAGGTCGGGGGGGAGTCGATGGAGAAAAAGGAGGGAAAAGGAGTAGAAACCGAAACTGGATTTCGGAGGACAGTTCGGGGGGGAGGGGGGGGCCTAGGCGATGGATGTATGGGAAACGTAGCAAAAGGGAGCAGAGCACGGGGATTTCGTTTCTTGAATGATTTGGGTGCCTGGTCCTCGAAAGACCAGGGGTGTGTGTAGTGTAAGAAGGGCGGGCCAAGCGGACTCTTGCCGGACTGAGCAGGGATGATATGGTTGATGTTGTGTGCCCAGGAACGAGAAACGAGGAGCAGAACGGATAAGCAGCCTCCAAACAGTCCAGAGTAAGAAAAGGGGGGTGGAGGGCCGCCGGGAGGGAAAGAGGGAAAAGGGAAAGAGGGACGCGTAAGCCTATGGACAAGCACACCCGATTGGGACTAGTGCGGGGAGGTGAGAGAGACGGGGCCGGGCGTCCTTGGCCGATAATGGCCCGAAGAAGGTGCCCTGCACTGGGAGAGTGGGTGTGTTCCTTCGCTCTTACTCCTTCTCTTACTCACCGTTACAGGTACAGCAGTGGCAGGTGCAACATGGCAATGGCAAGATGGCTACAGCAGGCAACACGCTGGCTGTTAAGAGGCAGGAAGGACTTTTGAAGGGGGGCAGGCACCATCCACAAGCAGCTATGCAAGGTAGGTAGGTACAGTACTACGTAGTCGTCCCCGGACGGATTCGCACGCCGTGAGTTGTGCCCAGTGTACCTTCCTGCAGCTGCACCCGCGATAAGGGTACATGTCCCCATCCTGAGGATGACGACGCCAACTGCTCTTTTGGGTTGTTGAGCTTATTCGCTTCGTCGTCGTCGTCGTCGTCGTCCTCTACTACCCAGGCAAGGGAGGGTCCTTTTCTAGTCTTACGCCGTTGGGCATCTTTTTTGGTTGTTGTTTTGTTTTGTTTCTGGACGCTGTTCGATTTCATGGGCCTCGTCACTCCCACCGTGTGTTTCGATAAGAGATTGAAGAGGACCTGCTTCTCGAGGCGATGGTTTCCAAAAGTTGCTGACGACGATGCCCGCGACACACGCCTTATTGAAGAGTCTTTTCCCCTCTTTCCCCTCCACCTCTTCTCTCCCCTCCTTCGTTTTCGGTCCAACACGTGCAAGCAAAGGTAACAACAACGACATATCCACTGCAAGTCCATCGCTGCCTCTGTTACTATTGTAGGATTCGCCCCCTCTCCAAAAAAGAAACAAAAAAAAATTTCTTGGCCGAGTCTCGTCGAGCTTTGAGGTGGTTGCCGGTATTGATCACGAATCCCGAATCCCATCCTAGGTACCATGTAGACTAGGTACCTACCCTAGGTAGGTACGAGCAAGCGCTGAGCCGGAGCGAACTCGCTACCCGACGGGGTTTTCGCTTGCGAGGACAATTATCTAAGCCACCGTGTAACAGGTACATGTCCCCATAACCCAATGTTGCATGCGAACACAGGTATCGCTGGTTCGGGCGGATGCAAGTCCCCGAGCTTGCTTTCGCTCGCTCTGCTCTGCCCACCATCAACAAATGAGAGCCTTGCTGTCTGGCCTCTGCGCGGAAGAAGGTTGTTTACCCGCGTGCTCAGCCTCCATCATTGAACCCCTAACAGGCTCATGATCGTCAATCTGTCCCTAGCTCCTCAGCTGCTCGAAGAAGGCTTGGAGAATGTTTGATATGCACCGGCTATTCAGCCCCCCGCCCCCCCAGATCCCGTCGCTTCTCACAGCCTGTCACACTGAACCCTCGTTTAGATACGGGACCTATCTCCTTCTTTTTACGGAGTACGAACATGCTCAATGCCCTCTTTCGGCCTCATGGTCTTATCCGGAAGATTTTAGACGCCCTTCTTCAGCTTATCTGGCATCTGGACCACAGCGCTCTTGACTCGCGGCTTCCGGCCTCTGCCCACATCACGATCGCTACGTTTCTGAACAAAACGCTCAGTTCAACTGACCTCTCGCCTCATCAAGGGGTCGCATGTGGCCATGCACAACGCAGAGCCATTCCATGGCCGCTGCTCCAGCCCCGAGCATCTTTTTCGCTTCATTCTGGAAATGCTGCTTGCTACTCATCACGTTGTTTACGCCACTGTGGGGGTGCGCAAGTTGATGGTGATTTCCGTCCCCTGCCCCTACCTCGATAATTCATGCACTGCCACGACGGCCGTTAACAATACTAATCCATTCCTCTGACCGCCGTCCCCGGGCTATGCAGCCGAGCCGACGCCCGTGAGCGATCCCACCATGGAAATAAGGAAAGCCCAAGGAACTCAGATGAGCGACTCAGGCCTTCACTTGTTTATCTGCCGTCCGTCGGCCAGAGTCAAACTGATAACATCAAACAGAGACGCCGGTAGGGCGGGTTTAGACTTTTGCTCTCTGCCGAAGCCTACACCCACCATGGCGATGCGGAATAGAGGCTAAGACAGCATGCTACAGCCTCCCTGCGAATCTGCTCTTAGTCAGGCCGATACCCATTGGAAATTGGACGTGTAGCGCGGCCACCTCTCACCGTAGACTTGGAATGAACAACATGTTCCTCTCCATCTCGCCTATCCTTGGTGACGGTTTGGAACCTGGACCGTGAGCCGTCTACCCACTTTTGCGCTCCATCAGTGCGTGCTAGGCTGAGGGGACATTGGTGCGGCCATGACTTTTGGAGATGTGCTGAGACTCGAAACCGACCCCGGCGCTGTATCGGCATTTTCCAATCGTTGGAGTCGGCTCGCAGCTCCATCCCTCTGAACACAAACCGTCTCGGTCTCTGGCGGGCTAGTACCGGTAGTAGGTAGGGTCATGCTCGTAACTGAGTACCCTTACCGGGCCCGAGCGCCCTCCTACATTCCCGAAAAGACCTCTTCCTTCTCATCCAAGGGGGGAGGGGAGGGGGTGGGCAGGCGGGGTCCGGGTAAGCTTACATAACTGGCTAGCTTGATTCCTCCGCTGCTCCACACCCCTATGCGCCGAGATCAGCATTACGGCAGCCCCAGCAAAGCGATTTGGTGTGCGAACCATGACGTTGTGGTCGTGGTTCAAAAATAGAAACTGCGCGGCCTTGTTTCACATGCGGCAGTCCAGAACGCCAGAACACCTTGCCAGTCCCCCCGTTAGGGAACCATTACCGAGCCACGATACGCCAATATATCGGTAGAGCTTCCGTGAAAGAGTAGGGGGCTTCACTAAACATCAACTATACTGCGTACGGATAGAACGGTCCAACTCTACAGTTCCAGACCATCCTGTGATGGGGAACCCCTGATATCCTGTTGCGCTTGTCATCCAATATCACCCATGGCATCAGTCGTTACAATCCTTCCACTGCTTCTCGAGGGGATGGAGTTGGTTTGATCGCCCACATCGGCTCGTTACCGGGGAGTCCGTGGAGCGCTATGTATGGCAGGCAGATTCGTCCAAGTTGATACTTTTTCATTATGGGTTCCAGAACGCCAGCCTTTTCCGACACTGGAACTCAGTGACTCTAAGCCTAGTGAGAAATGTTATGCCGAGGTGCGACCAGCCAAATCCCGGATAGAAGGTTCAAGACAGAGGAGAGTCTTTCTTCCAACCCCATATTGTCCATATGCTTGCTTGCTATATTTTCATATTCCAAGGATTCCCCCCTTAGCGCCCGGCTCGGCCTGAGACCGGCCACGGAATTGGCCTCCCACATTCCGGCCCGCCGGCCTGCTCCACTTCGTGATATGCTTGGCATAGTATGCCGACAGAGGGTTTCCCAGCAAGATGGTTGCCGTCCGGGCAAGCGTAGCATCAGTGGCTCCCCGGGTTGCGCTCCGTAGGTCCACATTATCGGAGAACTAGGCCTTTTGCGCAAGCGCAACAGGAAGGGCATTGCTGCACGACTCATATTTATTGATTATGACAGTGGAACGGTGCTCACGAGTCACCAGGGTCGCATTGGAGGCCCGGCACCTCGCCGATCGGAGTCGACGAAACGGCAGGCAAGGGCCTGTTCACTTCCCCCGTCGGCACATGATCCCCAGTTGGGGGAACAGTGAACTTCACAACACGAACATCACAGGACACATGATTGATGCTTGGGTTTTCGAGGCCTGATCTTCGGCTTTGGTATGGGGAGCGTGTGCCAGTTAACCTTCTTAGAGGCTTGGTCACAGCGCCGATGCCATCCATTTGGCTGCGTGGCTAGCTTTCTGCCGGTGGGCTTATGTCATCAGCGACATCCGACTCATCCGATGCTCTATAACTCGCAGTCAGCCACTCATTCCTGATAGCCGAGCTCACTTGCCATCTGGCTCCGCAAGCTTCGAATTGATGAATCAAATGATGTTCTAATCCTCGGTAAATGGGTTTTTTTGTTTTTGTTTTTTTGCCACAAACTACAAAACGATTGTGGAGAGCAGGAGGGAGGGAGGGCCACATACGATATAATGATTCCCCTGAACATCAAATCTTCCCAAGACGTCCAAAATCAGGTTTCTTCCCTTGGTTGTATGAAGTGTGGCTGCCGACAAGCCACTGGTGACTCATGACGTCAATTGATCGATTGCACAGCCACTAGCCACCCTGACTGTGGTGGCGCCCAGATCCTTGCCCTCGCATGCGCCACATATGTTTGTGCCACACCTGCCCTCTGCCACTGGCATGCCTGCTCGATATGTCGGAAGTACGTGTAGTGTATGCAGAGACGGCTAGGGGCTTCGCGATACAAGCCCATTCGATCCCCGGACCCTACCGCACCGATTCCCCCGCCATCCGAACATCGCCTACCCTTGCATTTTTTGCATAAGCTTGAGAGTTGCAAAAATGTGCCGGGCGCCGCCTGAGGTCTGTGCCAGATACACAAATGCCCAACCGACCCGAGTCTCGACGCGCCTGAAGCGAGCCGATTAGACTTCCCGAAGCTTAGTCAGGACGTTATGCCTTGGGTGCCTTCCCCCTTCCCAGACATCGCCACTTAGCAACCAGAGAGCTGCGGAGGGATGGCTCTGTAGTGGTCTGAGCTATCCCGCTCCAGCCGAAGATCTCGCAAAAAGGTTCTAGGTCAGCGGGCAGATGCACCCCCCCCCCCCCCCCCCCCCCCGCCCCCGTCTGAACTAGGTAGGTGATGAGGCAAAGGCTGTTCTGTGTGTCAGGGTCGTCGTCGGATTGGGTGAGAGACGATATAGTTTGGGTGCGTCGTTGCGGGCTCTGGCCGGGTGTCAGCGGAGGCGCAATTCAAGGGAGTAAGGGCTGGCGGTATGGATCGTAGTTGAAAGGCTTCTTCTGCCGATCTTCAGCAGCCTCGGACGGAATGAGGTTGATTGTGTTGGCCCCAAAGGTGCGCCCACATGCAGAATGAAGCTTTGGGGAAATATCGCGGCAATTTGAGCGGAAGAGAGAGAGATGCGGAGATGCTTATAGGTAGCCCAGACACGATTCGTCACCCCGCTGTGAGGACAATCCAACGAGGCCCAGGGCATTGAACAGACTTTTGGTGATACATGATTTTTGAACAGACGGAAATAGAATTATAAAAACGTACCAGAGGCCAAGACCTGAGAGGTGGGAATTGTGCCGATGGCCGCCACTGCCTAGCCATTCAATCCATGAAACTACGCGGCCTCACTTTAACCAGACAGTCTCGTCTCTTACTCGGTTGAGTCTTGGCAGCCGGACAACGCGGTCTTATTCATGTCCAGTCCTCGGTCTTATTCGTGTCCAGTCCAACCATCCAAGAAACATCGCGGGGTGGGTAGATGGCGTCTTTGGTTGAGATCGGAACGATGTTTGCGTTGATGGCGCTATCTCATGAATCTCATCTTCCTCATGATCCATCCGCCTTTGGCCAGATCGACCCCACAATGACATTGTCAGGACGAACCGAACGTAACTTTCCCCCGTGGAATCTTCTTCTGACACTACATAGATGCGCGATACAGTTATACAACATCACCAAGCAGTTATCTCTTTGCATGGCCATGAGATCCAGGTAGCATTTCGACTTGTCTCTACAACCATATGATCCCCCCCCCATGATGAACCGCAGCGTCTGTCAAAGAGAGCGTAAAGTAGTTATCCTATCTGCGTCGTTTGGTGAGCCTCACCTGTGGCGTACACAACTAATACTAGCCACATATAGTTATCCCAGCTTTACGACGTTTTCCATAACACGCCATAACGCTATGCATATCTCTATTTGCTACGCAATGCTATCAGAACGCAGCCATGCGGGCATGTTTGCGTTAGGTAGTGATCCCCTCCATCGGACGAACACTCACGGCATCGACAACCTCCCTACCTTCCTCTTCTTTAACGACGTCGAAGTTGTCCCAGTTGCTCGTGCCGTCTCGGCAGGCTTGGAGGTAAAGGGGGATGCCGCCAAGGTAGTTGAGCTGCTCCCTCTTCTTGCCCGGAATGTTGGCGCCCACGTACCACGATGAGTCGCACTTGCTGAAAAGCGTCGGCTCGTGGTTGGCAAGAATGGTTGTCTTCCAGTGTTCCACTGCCGACGGGCGTGGCTCGACGGATCTTACCCGCTCCTTACGGATCTTGGTGAGGAAGTCGCCAATGACTTCGACCTGCTTCTCTATGAACGGAGGCCCATTCGTAAAAGCCGTGGGCGCTGTTTCCGCACTTGGTAAGCCTCCGGTGCAATGTGAATAGAGAGGGTTCTTCATGGTAGTGACATACCTTGTGGCCCGTATACGAAGAAGAGATTCGGACACCCCCGAGTCATGAGGCCGAGATAGGTCCAGACGCCGTCCTTCCACCTCTTTTTCAAGTCGACACCGTCTTTGCCACGTAACCCCATGTTCGTCAACGCGCCAGTCATGCTATCATATCCCGTCGCGAGTACGATGATATCATGCTCCCTCTCCCTCCCGTCCTCAGTCATGATGCCCCGCGGAGTCCACTCGCGGATGCCCGAGCTCTTCACGTTAACCACCTCCACGTTGTCTTGGTCAAGGCACTCGTAGTAGTCTTGCTCCAGGCTGCTCCTCTTGGTCGCGAAAGGGTACGGCGGTTCGTCGGGAACCAGGATGGCCCTTTTTTGCGGGTTCCTGATCCTCCCACGCGTTTTCTTGGCCCAGAATTCATAGGCCAGGCGGTTCGACTCTGCATCGATCAGGAAGTCTGTGTACTGGCTCGCCTGGAAGTTGAAGCCCCCGCGCTGCCATAGCTCTTCCCACAACGCATCCCTCTCCTCAGCCGTGGTCTCTAATGCCGACTTTGGGTTGTACTCAGACGGGATGCCGTAACCACTCTCTCTTGCCGCTTTGAACAGAACTCCATAGAAGGACTTGAAGGTGCGCTGCTCGGCCTCTGTCATTGGACGTTGGTGCATTGGAAGCGCGATGTTGATGTTGCGGACGTACACCGTCAGCTCCACGCCCGGCTGCTTTGCAATCTCCTGCACGCATTGCACGCCCGTCGCCCCGGCCCCGATGATGGCAACCCGCTTGTTACGGAAATCAACACCGGACTCGGGCCAGGCCGCCGAGTGCACCACAGTGCCTTTGAAGGACTCCTTGCCGGCGAAACTGGGCTCGTACCGCTTGTACGAGCTGCCTGTCGCCGAGATCAGGAACCGCGAGGTGATGGCTCGGCCAGTGTCCGTCTTGACGATCCAAATCGCAGTATCGGTGTCAAAATCCGCACCTACGACGGTAGTGTTGTAGCTGACGTCCTTGGAGATGTCGAGGACCTTGTCGATGTGTCGGAAATACCTCTTGAGCTCCTCGTGCCCGGGGAACCGCTCCGTCCACGTCCAGTCCTTCCAGACTTCACGAACGGAGAGTTGATAGTAAGGCGCTTCTGAGTCGACTCGTGCGCCCGGATAGCTGTTCCAGTGCCACACGCCTCCAATGGAAGACCCGGCCTCTACAATGTGCGCCGAGAAGCCCTGCTTGCGCAGGAGGTGAAGCGCATAGCAACCGCCAAAGCCGCCGCCAATGATAGTCACATCATAGTCCATGTTTGTGCTTTGGGCGTCACTGCAAAACCCTTTGCCGTTGAGCCGGCCGTTATCGACGTAGTCGGCATAATCGATGGAGCCCATTGTTGCGCAGCTCAGTCGGACCTTGATATCGATACAGTCTGAGTCAGGGAGAAGTCTAAATGTGAGCAAAAAGGGAAACATGTGACTCGTTAAGGGAGTTTTATCGTTTTTATGTTGTATGACCAGTGGCCAAGAGTATCAGACGACGCGTCTAGGTTGCACGACATGGGAATGGTTCCGACGTGCTACACACGCAGCAGTTCCCCTCCTTTCGACATGCTCCAACTGCAACAAGCTCCTATCGGGAGCGTTTAACCACCGGGTAATTGTTTGTTTTTGGCAATCCGTTGAGAGATCTTTGCTGGCCTGAAATGACGAATGTGCTAGGGATCCCTTGATCGACTGATCCATTATCGTATCGGAACGGTGGGTACCTCGGCTTGCGACCCTTCTCATGTCGGCAGCCTTGTCTACGTTTCAATTTGCAGGCCGAATGGGGAAACACAATCGCGAGAAAGGCCGACGTTGGTGTTTCCAGATCTGTCTCCCCGGTGGACGTTGACACAGATGGAACGTATGCTCGGCTGGGCATCGAAGTCTGGGCAATGGACTCATAACTTCCTTCCACTATGACTCCACAAGATAAGGATTGGGTTACGCAGGAGAGTACGATCAAGGGTCAGAAGCCGTTTTGTAGATATCGACGTATGAATGACGAACTTCTCGTGGAACCCAGGTACTGAATACTGGGCAGAGTTGCCGAGGCGCGAGCGGGGTTGCCAAGGTAGTATTCTGCATGCCATATCCACCCGGCCCTGTCGTCTCTTTTCCTTTTGGTGATAGACGGGACCACTGGCTGGTTTAGCCACGCTGGATGAGGGGCTCTTCTGCGAACACTCAGCGGCCCATCCGCCGACGGTATCATCGATGACGGCGTCGAACGCGGCTCCGCAGTTGGAGTGGATTAGGTGGGGGGGTTGGGCGCTACCAGAGAGTTCTCTGGTCATTTTCGTGGGAGGAAAAAAGATGGAGAGGGAGAGCGAAGGAGGGGAAAAGAAGCGGGGGGGTGGGGTGCGGATGAAAAAAAGTTCATATGTTGATTTTGTATGTGTTCATGGCTGTGTGTGTATATGTGATTAACGTTGTTTGTTGGCTTGCTTACATGGCCACTCTGCTGTCGTTCTCTTGAATACGAGTAGATGTCATCTGTGAAGCAGTTCTGCGTCTAGACGTTGTCCAGGGCGGCGGCCGTTGCAGGAGTATCTAGTGAAGGAGGGGTGGTTGTCTGGTTCCGATCTCTGTTCGCTTAGGAATGAATGTTTGGCGGGCGATAAAAGAAGGGCATGAAGAGGCGGTGGTAGAGTCTGCGGGATGGGGGTAACAAGGAAAGAGAAGGGAAGAAGCAGCCGGGTTGCGGCAGCGTTGGACAGACAGGACTCACTCCCCGCCTTATGCCACCGCTGTTGCGGCCGTCGTTGCTGTCGATCACGCCTGTGAGCTGGCACGTGCGCCCGGAGTTATTCGTTCTGATCGCCACTGCGCCGGACCCGACGCGAAGGCAGGTCATGGAGTGCTTGTCCGACGTCGAGGGGTGGTTGTGGGTGGCGAGTTGGTTCTGCGGGGAGTTGTCTAGGTACTCGGCGTGGTCCGAGGTGGTTGTTGGGGGTCTTTTTCCGTTACTGTATGTTTGCTCCCGTAGTAATGCCTAGTATTACAACACACCGATCTAGCCCCTCGAAAACTCGTAAGTACTAGTAGATTCTTATACCGTTATGTTACAAAAGTGAGGCAAAGCTCCATATTAGGGAAGAAAGGAGATGTATATGTATTATTGGTTTTGCCTGAAGTGTGGCTTGTCCAAGGTAGTGGGCTAACAGACTACCTCTTGTCTGCAGCATGGGTCATGTGACTGCATGTAAATAATCAACCGTTCTTCTTATAGGCTGGTAGACAGGTAAGCCCTTGCTCCTTGTAGTTGTTTCCGCCATACAACGCGTTGTTTTGTTTACAGATTAAAGCAACATATTAGTTGTCTACCCTTGTTTGCAAGTGGGTTTCCTAATTTTTCTGCCTCCGAGGAATGCTGATAGCCATTCGTGCCGTCAACCTCTAACGTCATGAACTTTGGTTTTGTTGAGTCGACAAAGCGAAATTAGTTGCCCATACTACCTGGTTTTAGCATCTTCAATGGGAGTGTTTGTCGACGTGGCTTTGGCTTTCTGGTCATCACTGCCCGAGCCACAATCGTCCGGCGGCGCTTGAGTCTGGCGGGCTTCGGAGGCCTCAAAGTCATCGACCGTCATCGAGCCATACTTGGCAAGCGAATCTTTATCGATCTGGGATTTTTCATGTCAGTCACCCGCCTGTGGCCACACGAGCTGTTATAAACGCACCTTGATGACGAGTCCCATGAATCCGAGGACAACCACAGAGCATACGATCATAGAGATGGCGCCCTTTTTCCAGTACGGTGCCTCATCAGCGGCGAATAAGGCGATACCCCAGAATGTGTACAGCGTCGTAGAACCAATGTTCATGGCGTATATCGTCATACTTCGAACGGCCTCGTCACCGCTACGCTGGAGGATGATGCTTGCCCAACCAAAGACCAGGGGGTTGACCATGTATGAGGAGCCCGAAAGGTAAAACGCAAACATCGTGCCGGCGAACGGCAGTGTTGGAACAAGCAGCATCGCGGCACAGACGATCTGGATGATACAAACCAGGACGACCATTGGAACGCGGGTGCCGGTGGCGTCCATATGCCAGGCGGCAAGAATGTTGGTCACAATACCTACAGCCTGAACGCCCAAGGGATATGTGTTTATTTGAGTCTGGGTAAAGTGCTCGGCGTGGTACTTGAGCCAGAGGATGAAGTTGCCCTGGACTACCCAGGCCTCGAGGGTGGCGCAAACGGGGGACCAGAGCACCAAGACCCAGCTGCGTTTTGATTAGCCGTCCTGCCTAGAAAGAGGGATAGCACAATGAATTACAAGGTAGGCATGAGAGCAAGGCGTTTCAGCAGAGAAAAGGGATTGACCTTGTGCGAGTCTTTCATGACTGGAGGCAACCTCCTGACTGCCAGCGTCTTCTCAGATTCGCTAAGATACCGCGCGCTCGTGTTCTCGGGAATATCGGGGAAATAGAAGTAGCCGAAAATGGCAATGGGAAGAGTTATGATGCCATCTGCGAATCGTTAGTGTTATTTGCTACCAAAACATACCAGAAACCAGTCTCACGCAAGTTGTTAGCTTGCGTTGATTACTTACCAATAATGAAGACCCATTGCCATCCCCCGAGACCAGCTAGGCCACCCATGCCTTTGTAAATGGCCGTCATCATGACACCGGCGAACATGGTGCCAATTTGGCCCGAGGCGGTGAAGATGGCAGTGCGCTTCGAAATTTCTTGGGGCTTGTACCACGATCCCATGATGTAAATGGCTCCCGAGTAGGTGCTGGCCTCCGCCAGGCCGAGCAGGAAGCGGATGACGCAGAGTTGTGTCGTGGTCTTGACGGCCGCGGTGGCCATGGTCAGAAAAGCCCAAAAAAGCACCATGCTTGGCAACCATATTTTCGGGCGGACAAGCTGGAGACCGATGATCATGCCATGGGGGGTCTGACCAATTACCATACTGTAACGTGCGTCAGGAAGGAGATTCGCGAAATATGTGTTGTTGCACAGCCATCATCTTACCCTGCCGTAGTCACCGACAACACTGTGTTGTAATCATGACCCTTCATATGCAAAGCCTCTCGAAGGCCAGCAACCTAACGCAAAGTCTTGTCAGTATTTTCAAATGTCCAGATGAGCGTTCCTGATGGGTTGATTTACATAGGCATTGGCAAAAGCCGCACGATCTGGAGCAGTTTGTCAGCCAGCCCCTCCGGCATGTAGAAGGCTCTACGCAGCACTTACCTAGAAAGTTGAAGAAATAACTAAGACAGCAGTAGGTCTGCAGGAGTCAGTTGGATTGAGCCATGTCGATGCTGCAATTCAATTGCGTACCAAGATGAAGAAATCTGAATAGAACTGTTAGTCGGAAAGGGCAATTGGGGGGGGGGGGCCGAGCACAATTGACGACATACCTATTTTTTGGACAAGCCGCTTCTCTTCTCTTGACTTTGCCTCGTCACCAAGGAAGAAGGCTTAGGAACCCAGCAAAGTAAAGTCAGCCGACATCTCTCCCGCGCCGGGGAAGGGCACCGGGTTCAGTATAACTTACTCTTGACCTTGCTGGCGGTTGAACGGGTTTCGGTAGCCATATCGTCGGATAAGCATCAGCCCTTCTTGGTCGTAAGATAAAGGAAACTTCTCGCGCCGTGATTCTTGTATCGAATCCGTGTTCTGTCAACGAGATGTCCTGTCTCGATGTCCTGCCTCGACGTTCTCGTCGCGGGGTTTTCTTGGACTTTCAGGGTAAAAGTCTTCTCGAATGCCACTTTGTTCCCCACCGAGCCGTTCAAGGGTCGCTGCAACGACGGTACAGAATTAGAACCGTCCGTCCCCTGGGGGCCCGCAGGTCAGTAAATTGGCTCTCGTCTATTTGCATACGAAAAAGATACAGCGTCACAATACGTAGTAAAACCAGGCTCAGAAGTCGCGCACGAAAGAGAACCTTGATGTCCTCTTATCCTAGTCAGTCTACTCGGCGGCGCCGTTTCTTCCGCCTGTACTGTGTGGCTCGGTCCTATCAAGCGGGCCCCACCGGGGGGCTATATGGACCAAACCTGGTTCGTCAAATGAGGTAGGTAATAGCTCGAATTTGAGCGAAAAAGTGGCGGGGAAGAATTGGCGCATCTGATAAACCATACTATGTGAACCGCATGCCCGATAAGTTGACGCTCAGGCGCATGCGCTATCGCTAGTTGTTGTCCTATTTGACGTCCCAACGTATGCATGCGACGAATATTTAGGCGAAGGACACATTAACGTGTGCTTACTTACTTGCCACTGTTGAAGATAGGCCGGGTTTCGAGACTAATGTTGGCCGAGACTAATGCTGGCCGAAATACTCTGTATACATGCGTATATTCAGAATCAATCTGATAATAGACTAAATAAACTCAGTTCGCTGGGCGCGGCCCATAAATACCGCGTTAGACTTTCAGGAACAAAGATCGGCGCTCAAAAGTCAGAAGGATCCTCCCGGTTCGAATTGCAAGTGGACACTTGCGGCTTGGAAGTATCTGCTATTCTATTTATTTATCGACTTGGTTTCCCCAATTGCGGAATGTGAACGATGTTAAGTCGCCTATTAATTCTCCGCAGTCTTTTTTCCTGCAGCTGCAATGGCTTCTTACATCTTCTTCTCCCAAACGTGCCTCACTTTTCCTTCGGAAGCCTCTATAAAATTTCTCAAATGAGTTTCTCGTCCAGTCGGGATATGAGTCTTTGCCAATTTACTGGCCCAGGTAGCGAGCTTAATCAGGCGCGTTGTCACCTCGAAAACCCCACGACTTCTGATATTGTACAATCGGCAGCTTATGGACGTTGGCTTTGTTGCCCCTGGCGTCTTCCAGCTGAGCCTCGATTTCCTTCTCCGACAGCTGCGTATCCGTGATGATCAGTTCATCGCTCAAAGTCAAATGCTTATTCAATTGCTTGGGCTGGGTTACGGCGCCTTACGTACTTTCTCGGAAGTTTCACTCAGCTCAACTACTCAACCAGGTTGTAATAGATGTCATTCTGGGACCAAAGCTCGGCACTTGCAGAAAAATTATGGTTCAGAGTGCGGGGGTCCGCGAAAATGCACGCGACGTATTTGCCAATATCCCTGGAGTCTGTCATACCGGAAAGCACAGTCCTGTCGCCTGCGATTCAGTCTTTGAACAACGAGGACGCAAGTACGTCAATCTTGCCTGAATTGAGTCGTGGCAAACTGATTTGATGCCACCAGCAGAAGTCGATGACAGTGATGATAGACACAAAGTCTGAACATGGTTCAGGACGTCATCTTTATAAACCGAAAATGTCATTCAAGGTTCAGCTGAATATTGGGTATGCTGTCTGGACCTTAGTCGCGGAATCGTAACACCCCCCTGCTCGGCATCACAGATCCAAAAAGACACGGCACGAGCCGCTTCACACCCGTTTCTTAGAGGCATTGGCCAGTGAAATTTGGACCAGCAGCTTGTCCGCGACAACAGCCGATATAACGAATTCGTGACCTGCGAGTTGCTTCGTGGTCTCTTCTGCGGGGCCGCTGGGGTTGGTTGCGGTAATCTTGACGCCTCGCTTTTCCAAAGCCCGGACTTCTAGCTTCTGTAGAGAGCTCGGTCGGATGAGAGCCGTGGACTCCTATCCGGTGGTTTTCAGCGATGATCAAAGACCGTAGAAGCGTCCAAAAGGGCAGCAGCGTTGTGACTCTAATATAGTTCGGAGCTGTCGAGGCGGGCAACCTGTTCATGATGGATGTTCCGGTCGCTCCGGTAGCGTCGAGCATTGCGGCCTTCATGGTTGACCTTGCTGCCGTGCTCCTGGAAGCACAAATCTAGAAATGTCCAGCAACACCGATTCGCCCAAGATATGTTGAATTGTCTTTAAATTAGGTAACACAGTCAAAGTGAGGCTGACCCTCCAATTTATTTATGCTTTCACGCTCTGCAGCCCGTCTGTCCGAAGCATGGGTCCCCTAACCCAATACTGTGCAACCATTCGTCACTGGAGCTGGACCTACAAGGCCGCAAAGCCCGGGAAGCTTGCACACCCGCATCACATTCACAGGGCCCTTCTCCAATCCTCTCGGTTTCGGCATCCGAGCCAAAGCCAAATACCAAGTTTAAAGCTCCCGGGATGTGGACAATGACCGGCTGTCAACAGCAGCTGTTCACATATCAACGAAACATGGTTCTAAATAGCCGGTATAGACACGAGACATCACTGCTGCCTGAAATCTGGTCAGCCCCTTCTAAACTCCTGCCGTATTCAAAGACACCACTAGGCAGTTCTTCAATCATTGATTTCATTCGTTTTAACTACTTCATGACTGCTTAGCTAGCATGAGTTATGTTATCTGTGCGTATAGAAGGTCACTACCGGAGCTTCATCTCCCGGAGGTTTTAAGTAACCTTGGCGGTGTACCGAAGACCTCCACATATGAATTAATCAGTGAGCGAGGTCATGAAAGAGGATGATTGGCGTCAACTAGGATACTACTGAAAGAAAAGAAAAAGGCCTCCAGTACATTGTTTGATGCTCATATATCAGAGTTCGGATATCTAACAATAACAGTAGCCTGAAGTACAAATATAGATTGTTTAGCTGAGGGAGCGGAGCTAGACAGAAACAGCATCGCATGGTGATTCTGCGGAATAGGTTGTTAGAACAACAATGCCACCTGACTGTACAACATCCCATAGTTCAGTCCACAAGGGACAAAGGTCGTCAGATCGGATACTTGAATCTCTGGTAGGAATCATTGTCCGAACGGACCGAACTGACTCAACCACATATGACTGAGTACATAACTATCGTACCTCAGCTATAACTTGTGGTTAGAAAGGACAGTCACGTAATAATACTTTGTTTTACCCCTGCGTTTTGAGTACATGCATGTATAGAGCCTATTTAACATAAGGTAAAACATCATAAAGGCGACGTTCAGTGCAGCAGCTGTTGATATACGATGAGCGGCGTGAGAAAACGGCAATGATGAGAGATTCAGACTTGGGGAAACATTACTACGTATGTCACAGGCAAGATGAGCCACAATTGCAATACAGCAATTGCGAACCCACTTTTGTAACGGTACCCGCCACACGTTATCAATAGAAATATGCTGCTGGGGTATGATATAGTTATCATGGACCAAAGTCCAATCTGAGTTTTGTGCGGGAGTCCACTTAGGGGGTGAGTGAGGACATGATTGTGCGGTCTTATTTACGGTGTTGTATAAAGTTTTAAAGGCAAGTGCCTAGCCCCTTTCGCAATGCTGTATACCCACGCTTCCACGGTAACCAATGCCCCAAGTACCTTGGCCTCCTTACAGTTGTGGGCTGATTGACGTGCTACAAAAGCATTTATCGAATGATGCAAAGACACAAGAGCCCGGCAAACCCCGAAACCGACGCCGCCTGACAGGTTGAAATGTTTTGCCAACCACAGAGGATGGATTCGTCAGGGAGCAGTGACCAGAGCTTCCACTACCTCTCATTGGCCAAAGACCAGCCCGCTGCGTTCCCAGCAACTACGGATACATAGTAATCAATTAGCCAGTCACGGACATAAGCCTAGTCCACACACCATGTCCCCTTTCGGGAGTCACCCCGCATGCTCTTGAGGAGGGGCAGCCCCCCCCCGCATTTCGGCTCTCAGGCGTGGGAATTACACTTACCCATATCATCGGCCACTTTGTCCCGGGTCTATGTTTCTCCCGTCAGTGGGCAAAGCGCGCAAAGAGAACGTGGTGGGGGAGGGGACCGCGGGGCAGCATGTGCGAGACGGCTACGCTGAAGTCAAATTGCCGAACATGGATGCCGCACTCGATGCCGTACATTGTTGCCGCATCTACGATGATCATACGACTCATGCCCACAACAACTCTTCTTGCCTCGTGGTCCCTTCATCCGCAGCTCTGAATTTGTACTTAACATCAGGGTCCTCCTCTGCATCCGCACTTCGCGCTTTCATTTCATCGTTCTCAATCCCTCAGTGCTTTCTTTGCCCCCCCTCGCGTCTTCCCCACAAAGCATAAACCACATTCACATACTCCGTACACCTCGCAACACATCTTCACGATGGCCAGCAACGGCACCAACGGCACCAACGGAGCCGACGCCAAGAATAGCAAGTTCGACCCCAACTTTACACAGCATGTCATCGACCTCATGAGCCCGGAGACGAAGCCCAGACATCGAGAGGTCCTCGGCTCTTTAATCAAGCATCTCCACGACTTCTGCAGAGACGTCGAGCTCACACAAGAAGAATGGGTCCTCGGTGTCAACTACATCAACTCCATTGGCCAGGCGTACAAGAAGAACCGCAACGAGGCATGGAGAGTGTGCGACATCTTGGGTATTGAATCGTGAGTTATCCCTCAAAGTCCCCGCCGCCGAATCCACAGTTATGACCCCGCGCCACGCTGCCGCAGTCGGCACATTCGTCCTGACCACTCGACCATTGGCTAATAATTTATCCCCCGCACCCAGTCTCGTTGACGAGATCAACCACACCGTCGTAACCGACACGGGCAATGCCCCTACATCTTCGGCAATTCTCGGCCCCTTCTGGTCCCCCGAAACCCCCTTCCGCGATCTCGGCGCCTCCGTTGTCCAAGATATGCCCAAGGATGGCCAGCTTACCTTCTTCCACGGTGTCATCTTGGATGCCGACACGGGCAAAGGCATTCCTGACGCCGTGTTTGACATGTGGCAGGCCAGCACCAACGGCAAGTACGACACTTTCGACCCAGAAAACCAGTCGCGCCACAACCTCCGCGGCAAGTTCAAGACGAACGAGGAGGGCAAGTTCTGGTTCTACTGCCTTAAGCCTACCGAGTACGCCATTGACACTTCCGGCCCCTCGGCCGACCTGCTCCGTCTCATGGGCCGCCACCCCTACCGCCCCGCACACATCCACATAATGGTCACCCACCCGGACTTCATCGGCGTCACGGCTCAGCTCTACCCCAGCGACGACAAGTACCTCGAAACCGACACGGCCTGCGCCGTCAAGCCCGACCTGCTGCTCAACTTCAAGCCTGTCCAGAACGAGCCCAAGGGCGCCGTCCTGGACGTCGAGTACAACGTCCGCCTGGTGTCCAAGAAGTACAAGCCGGATTCCAAGATGCTCATGCAGAATGCCAACCAGGACAAGTTCTAGATGGGTTTCGGCATGCCCAAACCCTTTAATTTCCATTTTCCAGTCACGAGGAGAATTGTGTACATAGCAGATGGCGCCAATGTTTTGACGGCGCATCTCACCCCGTCAACCTGGGGTTTCTGTTTTCCGCGTTTTCCGCGCACCCCACGCATTGCAGACAAAGCGTCGCATAGCAAAATGGCGTCAGCCAGTGCAGAAACATGGCCCATAGAAGGCCCAGTTTTCTCCGCACGAATTAGAAATTGATATCCGTCCAACTTGATTCGGTAGAAAACCACGGTACTGTGGTCATTGGCTGAATTCGTCGTCTCCTGTGCCCTCCCTGTCCATACTCCGATTTCGCAGTCTTTCACATTTGCTAGCTAGATTTCCTAGGCGCAGATTTGGCGAAGTATCCGTACATGTTTCGGCGACTGCTTGAATCTGCTCCATGTCAATATGACTCCTGCCATTTCGAACGATTTCATTTTCTAGTCTGAGGGAATCATGTGTCTTTCAGCGAGTATGACGAGCTACCTGTTATGCTGAAATCTTCTGGTGCTTCCCCGCGCCTCCCAATTCCCCATTCTCCCACCTGACGGGTATGATCGGAAACCCTCGGCTGAGAGAGCTCTCACTTTTGGAGGGACGATTCTTTTCCCGACTTGAAATGCCGTTAAGGACAGGGGCACGACCGGAACTAAGGTGCCACTTTATTATGCAAAGAGGATCCCCCCAACTAAATCTTTATTTACGTGCATGACGGAAACCAGGCAGAGAACCACGCCCTTTGTTTTCTTACTGTTGGTTACACCAGGGATATGGTGATACGGTTAACCGTACGTATCGGTGGCAATTGACGAATAAATGGGGTAACTGTGATCTCTATTATGCGTAAAGAAATGAAGGATAACTATCGTGGGTTGGTTGGTTGAATAACCAACTTATTGCTGCAAATCCTCGGTGGATCCGTGGCCAATTATCCGAGGATTCGCCGGCAATGAGTCATCGGGGTTAACCCGATAACTCCGATATTCATCCGCGATGCTCAACATCGCAACACTTACATTTCTGAGTTTTCGCCAGAAATAATACTCGCGTCGAACAAGCCAATCCAGGCAGTATCGGCAACGCAATGTTGAGCGAAATTACCTCTGCGGTGGGGAAAGAGGACCTGTACCCGCTAAGTAGCGAGTAGGCACTCGCTAGACGAGCTGCCATTCAATCATATTTGTTTGCACCCAGACTCTGGTAAGAAGGGGGCATATGGTACGCTTTAGTTGCTCTAAAAGAGTCTCGTTGCCAGTTCAAAGGCGAGGAATGGCGGACTCGGGTTACTTCAATGGCGCGTGTTCGGTGTGTCTCCCCCATCCAAGCGGGGCTCAGTTATGCTGTTGGTGATTATTAAGTAGTGACGTAGGCGACATCTGAAAGTACGAACCCCCACGCAAGATGTCTTCAAAAGTCATCTTCTCTTATTGCACACTACTCTCAGGCAGCCCAAAACATCGTTTGTCTCACTGCATCAGTGATATTGAGAGCGGCAATCAGTCGCTCTGCCTTCCGGAGTTGATCAAGACGATAGGACTGATCGCACGAGCTGTCCTGGTGTAATACGAGTTTCATCTCAGCATCAGCAACGGAAATGGGCCTTGAAGATAAGACCGTCCTACTTGTTTGTAGTGATTTTCATTGTCCAATGATCAATCATATTCTAGGTACCTGTACTGACTTATCTCCAGACCGGTGCCTCCATGGGCATTGGGGAAGCCATCGCCAATGCTCTGGCTGACAGAGGCGCAAATCTCGTTCTACTATCACGATCGGAAGTAGGTCAGCCCCAACTTTTAAGTTGAAAATCTGGGGGCCAACAGCCTATGATAGTATCCCGGCTGAAATCATACGCTATAGGACAAGTTAGATACGCTGGCTCAAAGATTATCAACTGCATACCCCGGCACTAAGATTATCTACCGCGCCGCTGATGTTGGAAGCTTTGAGGACGTAGACAGTGCCATTGCGTCCGCCGTTGAGGAGATCGGAATCATTGATATTCTTATTAATAACGTAAGGAAAGCTCCTTTGCTGTTATTTACGTGATGCTTCTTGGCGCTGCTGAAGCCGTCGGATAGACGACTAACAACGATACCCAGGCTGGACTTGCCCTCGGAGCACCCGCCAGGTTCCACGAGTTGAAGATTCAGGATGTCATCACAATGTCCAACACGAACATAAACGGTACAATGTTTGTCACTCACTCGGTCCTCAACAGGTCGATGATGAAGCAAAAGCCAGGCAAGGGCACGATTCTTAATGTCACCTCCACCACCGCACTAGAAGCGCCACCGTTTCCGGGCGAAGCTGTGTATCACGCGAGTAAAGCATTCCAGGAAGGCTTCACCAATTCTCTCCGTAATGAACTGGTCACGACCGACATCAAGGTCCTGGCGCTAAGGCCGGGTGTCGTCGCCACTCACTTCCACACCCAGCGCGTTGGGTTTGACAAAGAGCAATACAACTCGTTCATTGAAGGCTACGAGTAAGCGACGCTATGTATTTTACCGAGTTGACAAATACGTTCTTTACTAATCCTCTAAAGCCCGCTTATTGCCGAAGATGTCGCTCATGCCGCTGTGTACATGCTGGATCAATCCGAGAGGATTTCCATCAAGGCTCTGGATGTTGTTCCAACGGGTTAGTAAGCCTCTGAAATTGGGTCTTTCTGTCACTAATGCAATGAACTATCAGCTCAACGGTCATTGAATGTCTTCGATCGGACGTGGAGCGACCGTAGTCACTGACGGGCTTTTGTCGTGCGAGACATGTCCTCGTGGGCACTGAACGGAAGCAGAGATCTAGACTCGTTTTTTATAGGGGCAAGAGGCCCAAGATTCAAGCCTTCCAGACCTGTTCCTTGCATTTGGCATCGACGAAGCATGTATTAATATGAAATGAGTGATATGAATGGTGAACTTGGTCTACTAGCATTGCTAGGATATAAGGCTGGCTCCTGAACACTGGATAACATGACAATTATTAAGGAGAACACTGTGTAATATGGACTAGCAACAGTGGACGAAAGCAGTGTTGAATTCCATCTACAATTTTCATCAGCGAGCCAAAATGTATGATGGAAATTACTGCTAAATCGCTTGGAGAGACACGGAATTGGCCAGACTAAACAGTAGCTTTTTGAACAGTAGGCCTGCCAATGCTAGTTCAAATCGTCTTTACGGTGAATACTGTTGAACGTGATAGCTCCGCATGGGGGTCTCGCTTACAACAGTCGGGCGAGTGAACTGACCCATCACTGTGCTCGTTGGATACCGCGGAATATTCAGGACACCAGCACCCCTTATCCCAACCACTCTTGCTAAGTCTACTAAGGGAGCTGGGCTTCACTTCCTTCGCTACTGGGAGACTAAGCTATGTTGCTTCTCATTGGCAATCGAGTATTGGCATATTTCAACCTCGAGCAATAGTAAGCTCACATTACTATCAGCAGGACATGTGGCGCAGATTTGGTGCTGAGACTAGTATTGTGATTGGACAATCGATGCTTTGACACGTGAATTATCATTTTGATTGGACCTGAAGAGATATCAGTTTCGTGACACTCTAGCGGATTTAAGCGGTGAATCTTACCTCCGTGTTCAAGCAAGTTGTGCCGACGTCGGGATTTGCAGTCGGCCAAAGTTCCGCTATCCCTTCTTAAAAGCCGCAACGCCTAGTTCAACGACAATGCTTTCATCGCGAAGCCTTACCAACAAAGGGCATTGATCTATACTTTCTATATTCCAACTTAGAGATGGAGGTGGGCTCTTGTTGCTTAAAGGCCTTCGAGTGGAACGGCACACCTGAAGGCCGAATCGATAAGCTCGAAGGTCACGACGTCTACATCACCGGCCACAATCCTGGCGTGGCCGTACTGTTCATTCACGACCTGCTTGGTTGGACCTTTCCCAACGCACGTCTTCTTGCAGACCACTATGCCCGCGAAGCCAACGCTACAGTTTACTTGCCGGACTTCTTCGATGGTTGGGTCGTGGAGTTTGAGCCAGTTCTTGCCGGTCGATTCCATGAGATCGATCTGGAGAGTTTCCACACAGACAACGCTCGTAATGTTCGAGAGCCCGAGATCTTCAACTTTGCGAAGGCACTGCGAGGGAGGCATGACCATGTTGGAGCGATAGGGTTCTGCTATGGAGGCTGGGCTGTGTTTCGTCTTGGCGCGAAGGAGCATAACCCCCCGTTAGTTGATTGTATCTCGGTCGGACATCCGACCTGGTTGACTAAGAAGGATATGGACGAGGTTGCGGTTCCTGTACAGATGTTGGCTCCAGAGATTGACCCGGTCTTCACAGCTGAGATGAAGTCATATTGCTTCGAAACAGTGACGAGGAAAGGTGTACCCTTTGAGTATCATCACTTCCCCGGAGTTGAGCATTCTTGCTTCGTTAGGGGTGATCCAGGAAAGTCCGGAGAGCGAGAGGCTATGGCACGGGCTAAATCGGCGGTTGTGAGCTGGCTAAACACGTTTCTCCACTGACTGGATTATCTTTGCCATAGAAGCTGCCTCATCATCAGGTCAAAAGTGAGCATTTTTGGCATATGATTGGTCCCGATTTACAGGATTTGACTAAGTCATTGTGATGTTCAAACCCCTCGTGGAGCGTTGCCTTCTGCGATCTTCTGGAAAGTTAGATTGAGATACAATGTGACATCGTTGCGGATAATGTAACACACCCCAACCATCCCAAGGAGAAGCGGACCGAAGTTTTACAACTTTTACTCATAACCGTAGTTTTGGAGTTCGAGGTTGAATCATCGTGGCCTAGACTCCGTACATCCACTCCCGATGAAGGTACACTTATTCGAGAGCTGCGACAAGTGCAAATGACACTATTACGGACGCGGCAAACATCTTGTTTTAGCCCACAGTTTAATTTTGGTAGTTGAAATAAAGTTATTTTCAATGTGTCCCAATACCCGAACAGAAGATGATTTCTCGGTTTGTCAAATTTCAAACACTAGTTGCATGTCTATCGCAACGACCTTGACTCCACACGCTCAACCAGGAGCTTGAAACGACTTTTTGGCTCTGTTTAAAGAATACAGGTTCTATGATGAAACCAAGGCAGACAAGTGACGTAGTGGAGATTTTTGTACGAATTTCATGGTGGCTTTCATACTTCGCTCCACAACTTCCAAGTATTGCCAATGACGACGCTGGGCAAACAGCCTGATACTACGAGAAATTCACTGTCATAGACTTCTCGAAGGGTTCGGTCTGGTCATAGGTCTTTGATAAGCTCGGATGAGTACCATGTCCTCGGGATAGCTAGCTTGTCTTCCAACGGCCTCAAATATGATCCTCTCTCTGATATCATATTCTCTTTGTAACTCATCCAATGGGGGAAAAAAACACTGTTTAGTGATATACAGTTTGGATAAGAGGATAGAATTTGAAGATCATAGCGATAGATCTAGGAAAGAGAATGAACAATGAAAGTGGACGTGGAGATCATAAATCTAACAGTATGTCTCCGTCGATTGTCAAGTAAATGCTGGTTTGCTATAGATCTACGGACATGCCAAATTGAATCTATGCAGCTGGCTTGTTTCTGTAGGATATCATCCTCTCCTGGTAAGAATCTTCTGATGAACCTCCTTCCAGTTCTTCTCCAACTCTCCCTTAACTAGAGTAGCCAAAAAACGATAACAATAGGCGCTGACTTTCTCTTCCAGTTCAAGACCACCGCCGCTCGCGTTCCGAATCCTCCAACGCGTCTCCATAAGAACGTTGAGTGGGCAATGTATGCGGACAAAACTGCCATCTGGTGTGAAGGTGAACTCGTATTCGCTGACACTCTTCTTCTCCAGCATGCCCTTGGGTAACGCCTTTGGAAGGTGGGTCGGGACAGTGTCAGTAACTGTATAAAACTCAGTCGCAGCGATGGCATCGACATCTTCAGGTACTGTAGGAGGAACTTGAGGTGTTCGAGGGTTCCAGTATGTCAAATTTGGGTCGCTTTTGATATGATTCTCTGCGTCATGGAGGCACGACAAGGCGTCTTCGCGGGACATACATCCGGGGACTGGAGTAACGTGCGTCAATGTTATCGTCGTGTTGAGCATTTTGTATCGTATTCTTCAAAAAGGTCCACAACAACTCAATTCTCTGTGGTATACTCATTAATACTGCGATAAACGCAAAAGCATAGGATGCGGAAATATAGAGACGAAGGACATTTATGAAATAGATGTGCGCATCTGTGTCTGACAAGAATGTTGGTCCCGGCATGGGAAACAAGCTTTTGGGGACTTATCAGGCGAATGTGAATCTCCGTCGGGTTTCAATGACATCAACAAAGGTTTGCCCAAAGCCAATTGCTTAGTGAGACGTTCAATGTCCCGAGACTCCTGAAAGACTACTTGAAGCCAGAGTCGGTTGAATCCATGCATTTAACCTTGAGCTTCTTCATTACACTTTTCACAATGCAACAGTGGGAGCGAACATCACTTCTAGCATGTTCATCACGAGTGGATGCGACGCATTTGCAGTAAGGCGATGATGATAGATTTCATGATTGGCCAAATTGGCGATCCAGACTTGATTGCTTGTTGTTTCAGGATGTAATTTATTGAGTTTCCAAGGTATTACGACCATTTCTACTCGCAGAAGATGCTACGCAGAACCAGCTTCCTGTTTGCAAACAACTTTAACTACGGTTCAATGTCTGCTTCTAAGGACGCCTTCTATCTGGTTCTTCAGCTTCTGGAAATTTCGGTAGAACGACAAAGGATAGTGAACAATCATCACCAAGCAGCGGCTCCATGAGATCCAAACCTCATGGTTTGCGATATATGGATAAGTCGCTCCATCTAAGATTCATTCTATTATTATTCAACCCAATTGAAGACACTGAAATACTGTAGAGGCTCTGGATACAACTTTCAATTTCAAATGAATCGATAACCTATTCTTGAGGGTTATTTTCACTTTCATAGCTTAACAGCATTGCCCAAGCTTTGAAGCGTCGCTGAAGCAGCCGTAGACTAGTGGTATCACTGATGTTGAGGACTGATCTCGAACGTCGCATCGGAAGGCAGAGCCATAAAGTTCATCTTAAGTTGAGAGGGGCAATTTTATACTAAACCCCAATGTGTACTATTGTGGACGATGCTTGTTGATAAGCTATTGTAGAGATGCCTGCTGTCGTTTCGCGACATATTATTTATCGATGACGTAGAGTTTCTGGCTTGCGGTACATATCATTGACGACCTAGAGACAATGCGGAAAAGTTAAGGCTCAGTTTAGTGTAGAGTGATTTCGCAATGCATAGCTATATGACCAGCCAGCACGCTTGACCACAGAGCGGAGTCGTGCTTGATGAATCAATAGATAAGGAAGGCCCAGACTCTAGGACGTTTTCTAAGATGCACAAGAATCCATCTAACCCATCATCCATCAAAACAGAACCTAGGACTATCACAATATCAACTGAGTACCTAGCTTAGAATGATAAATACGAAATACAAAATGGTCAAGTTCCAGCAACGTATGTAGTGCTCCAATCCCTCGTGTTGACTAATCACACATCGTCGACTCACTCGAATGTACCTTATCAGATTCTTTCAAATCGCTGCTGCTAGAAAAGGCATCTGACAGCGATAACGCTCCGCTTTAGTCCGTCATCTCACAGCCAAAATGGGTGTGCATTCGCCAAAGCTCCATTCACTTATCAGCCCGGTGACCTAATCGGAGCAACGGGTATTCGTTTGTACCGTGGTTGTCGCCTATCAGTACATGAACCAATACCGAGTTAGTCATATTACCATCGGTCTTCTTATCTACGATCTGGCAATAATGCCGGTCAATGTCGATGCAACTGATAAGGAAACATGCGCTTGGCCTCCACAAATCACTTTACCCAGACCTCTAGAACCAATCGCCCCAGGTTGTTTCTTGTGATCATAGTAGTCGGTATGACAATGAAAGCATATATCGCGTCATGGCTGGCATCAACTGTATTCTTTTTATGCATTCCAAGAACTCACAAATGTTCTTTGCCGCACATGGAGGTCAGATATAAGAGGTCAAACTGTCGATCTATCTAGAAAGAATGCGGAGCGAAGTCGGGGCAAATATATATCCGTAAGACCCATGGTCTCACACGTGGGATACCTACGTGACATGTTCCTTGACACGTTGCATAGAATTGAAGCACCATTTCTGTGACCTGGCCCAAGCGTGTGGCGATAATATGAAACGGGTTACTTCGGTTCTTCAGAAGACGGGATATCGGTAAGATGAGAAACCACGATCCTGCGATACTTAGGGCTCGTTTCACTATTCAGATATATGAAAGCCTGGGCGCGGTTTTCATGCACTTTCTCAAATAGAAACTCTTTCCAGTCATTGGACGTCTCAGTAACTTGTTCCTTGCCCTATTATGTGGGGCTTTCCTTCAGAATCCTGTCCAGAAGCTTGGCTGCTTGGAGCACCTCTTCATCATGGAAATGCTTCCCAACCAACTGCAGACAGATCGGCATGCCATCAAAAAGATCTGCATCATCTGTATCAACTCTAATATTAGCAACGTTGCCTCTCTTTGAATGGGCCACTGACGGAATGTGTGACTTACAAGCTTCCCATTCATTCTTATCCTGTTCATCTCTGGGTTTGTATGTTTCCTCCCGCAGGTCAATATCTTTGTCGACTCTAAGCCCACTGGGGATAATTGCCGCTGGCTGGTCCAGAATGTTCCAGATACTGGTGTAACCCCAGTATTTGGCACCACCTTGTAATACGCCAGCACCTACATAGGCTGGACAAAGAATGAAGTCTACGCCTTTCTTCTTCATCAGATCATGGTACTGCCTTCTGTATGTCTCTCTTTTGTAATTCAGCTCCCAATTTTCGGCCACAGTCAGTGGTTCGTCCCTTGAGAACCCGAAGGCATGGAGTGTCAATGGAAGTGTTGGTTCGCCACTCTCGGCGAACGTGTCGAGATATGGCTTCGGTCCCTGCGGGAAATACAAAGCTGACTTTGGAAAGGGTCAGTCACATTATCAGATAGTCGCTGAAATATCCCAAGTCACCCGGACTATACTCACAACAATATCCCACCCGTGGCTATGGTCGTACGGGTCCCAGTCCACCACATTAATGCCCGATCTTTTTAACTTCTCTGCCGCCATTCGGAGTGCACGAAGGACCGGGGGATGAGGTTTCACACGGCTGACTAAGTTAGTAAACCGGGCATTTCAAAACAATGACAATATACATACCCATCGTCAAGCATCAGTCCGATTGTGATGTTTTTATTGAGAGTGGTCTTTCTCCATGGCACAGGAACCAATGTTGTTTCAGTGTCCCATGGCTCGGCTGCAAGTACAGCCTCCATGAACAAGTCAAGATCCTCAACACTTTGACCTAAAGGACCAACAACACCGCGAATACTTTCCTGGCCAGCGGTAATTCCAAAGTTACCTAGGTTTGGGATACGTAAAGCAGTAGGTCGCAACCCATAGCAGCCATTGAATGCAGCTGGTATGCGTATGCTGCCGCCAATATCCGTACCAACACCAATGACAGAGCACTTCGCTCCAACCGAAACGCCTTCGCCTCCCGATGACCCACCGGGAGAGCATAGGAGGTTATGTGGGTTCAATGTCTTGCCGGTAATATTGTTATTGCAGTCCAAGTGCTGAAAAGATCAGTCCATAGGCTCCCAGTCAAAATCAATACCTCTAATATAATAGAATGAGAATGAGCTCAAACATACCATCAAAGACTGAGGTTGGTTCGTTCGCACATGTATGACAGCTCCTGTCTTTTTCAGAATCTGTATTGAAAGCGCATCGTCGTTTGGGACGTTCGTGATCTTTGATACAAATCCTGCATGCGTTATGTGACCACCCATGCTAATGTGTTCCTAAGATCCATAAGCATCATTCAATCATAATAAAGGTGAAATTGTAGATAAACTGACTTTAACTGAGACGGGGATGCCGTGGAGGGGGCCCATGAACTGCCCGGTTTTTTGAAAGTGGGCGTCAAGCTTATCGGCTTTCTCCAGGGCATCTTCCGCTAATATTTCAGTAACAAAATTGGTCTAGAAACAAGAAAAGCGTGAGAATTGGTATCGTTTTTATTCATGGATGGTATATCACCTACCAACTGCTGTATAATAGTTGCTCGCTTCAAAAACGCAGTTACAACTTGTCTGACAGTCCATTCGCCACTCATGTATCTCTTCTGCAGGCCAGCTGAGTCTTGTTCTGTCATTCGCAGTTCTTCATCTGTCAGAATTCCCGACTCATAGGGTACGTTTTGAACATCCAAACGGTCGTGTGAAGGGAGTTGGTCTTCGGAAAGCTGGTAGTCCTTGGGTATGGACTCCTGCTGGATTTTGATACATCTTCTTGAGAGCTCTTCCCAAGGGGTTGACATAGTGACGATAACCATCTTAGAATGTGGAAGGATTTGGACGAGCGAGTGGCAGTGAAGAGTTGACACAAGGATAGAGTAGTGTGTCTACACCAGCGTTCCAGGGGGCCTCTCACAAGTCCTATGTAGTTGTCACTCCCAAATGATAACGGCTAGCTCGCTCTGATAGCTCTGATAGCGATAGGTCGATACCTCTCTGCCTATCGGTATCAACTGCCAAGATGGTTAGGGGTGACCCCACTCCTTGTGGATGCCGGAGATTCAGGAGAGCATATCAGTAATCCATCTCCGGAAGCAATGTGTTCATTCTCCTATCTATTATATCCGGGACTATCATACCCAGGGGTGTTAGTCGGGCTGGCTGCGCTAAAAACCCCGGTGTTTAACTTTGCCAAATCCTAACACCCCCGGGTAGATGTGGCCATCAAAGCCAGTGCTCTCCAATTGCCCTTTCTTTATCGCAACAACACTGCAGACGATGTCCAATCGGAAGTTGATGTTGGGAACCGGGAAACCTTATCACTGAGACCCACAATCTGGACTCTCCACTGGTAAAGTCTGTTAGCCTACGGTGGTATCCGTGCCGCAACCCATGCAGAGATAGACATATTTAGCCTAGACCAACTTTTTGTAGGGAGTGAAGAACCCGAGGAAAGCATGCCACCTATTCAGTTAATTATCTACAAGATATACATAAGTAGCCGCATCTGTGCACACACAAGAAAATTGTCTTAGTATCTGCCCACTCATTTCCAGACTGGTAGGCTAGCCAGTTGTATAATACTTTGTAATTTTATCACTAGAAGCAAAGATCTTTGGCACGAAGAAGTCAGTTTCCAATTCACGTGGCCGAGTCCATACACGCAGTTCGCGCTATGGAAAAATCCAGCCCTTTTCCTCCAGGCACTACGAGGCTCATTGATGTAGATGGATCTTTCATCACCAAACATGCTTCGGGCTCAAACGAGCAGGATATTGTTCTCATCCCTCGTCCTTCTGATGACCCAGAAGACCCTCTCAATTGGACAAAGAAAAGAAAACTACTGGCAACATCTTGCGTCTTTCTTTACACTGTAATGATTGCTATCCCTAGCAGTGCAGTCTACTCTGTTGTAACGCCTATCAGAGTGGCAACAGGCTTATCTTTGAGTGATATCAACAACGGAACCGGTATTATGGTGAGCAAGAACGTATATCTTATAAAGTATGGATTCTAACTGCATCGGATGGCAGTTTTTGTTCTATGGATGGGGTTGTCTAATTTGGCAGCCACTCGCACTTCAATACGGCAAACGACCAGCTTATCTTGCGTCACTTGTAGCCAACATTGTATGTATTCCGAATTCACTTGCTCACCGGACTGCCACTTACAGATATTCTTATAGGTAATCCTGGCTACAGCGCCAATGTGTACAACAAAAAATACCTATCTAGCAAATAGGATTTTGCTCGGGCTTTTCGGGGCACCAGTCGAATCTCTTTGTGAAATTTCTATCACAGATATCGTCAGTAATTCCTGAGCACAAAGAATTTGTGAATAGTCAATCTCCGTACAATAAACTGACCGCTACCTAGTGGTTTGCTCACCAACGACCTAAATACCTTGCTTGGTATGGCTGGGGTCTTTCAATGGCGGGTAAACTGGCACCTATGCTCTCAGGTTTCATAAATGTCGGCATGGGCTGGAAGTGGACTTTGGTAAGCCATAATCACTGCATTCAACATAAATGCCGAAGGTCTAATATCAGTTCCATCACAGTGGTGGTGTTCCATCTTCAACGGCATCGCTCTCATTTACTGTTTTCTTTTCATGGAAGAGACAAACTACGACCGGCCAGCCTCGCCAAGTACAGATAGTGCTGCCGTGCTCTCTGGGACAAAACCAGAAGACCAGACAACTGCTAGTAAATTGGATGAGCAAGACCAAGACAAGACTGCGAACCAGAACTCATCAAACGCCCACTCTGTTGACAGGGAGACGGGTCAAGTACTGTACCAACGAAAAACGTTTATCCAGAAGCTTGGTATCAAGGACAAACAAAGGCCTAACCGCATGTTTGATATTGCGATTAGTGGACTAACTGGCTTCACGTACCCCTCGGTGGTTTATGCTGGGTATGAGCTTTCTTTCAGTTTCCCCTGTGACTTTTTGCTGACTGTCTCTTAGTTTGATGTATGGCGCCAATAGCCTGGTCTGGTCAGGTGTTCAAAATGCGACTGCTGGGACTGTTTACACCACAATGTACGGTTTCTCTACTGCAGGTGTCGCTGCTGCATATGCTGGCGGTCTCCTAGGAACTATGGTCGGGTAAGAACTGTGCAATGGCCCTGAAAACTTAAGGGGTAGCCAACTAACTTGCATATCTAGAGGTTACTACTGTGGCAAAGTCGGCCGTATCCTTACACTTCGACTTGCGCGCCGCAACAACGGCATTTCCGAGTCTGAACATGCGTTGTGGCTTTTCGCTGCCTCAATGTTTATTGTTCCGTTCAGCATGCTTCTGTATGGCCTTGGGGTGACATATCACATCCACTGGATCGGCCTCGTCATCTCTCAGTTCACGCTTGCAATCAACAACGCTCTCTGTGTGGCAGGCTCACTTGGCTATGCCATTTCTTCTTACCCTGAACTCAGTGGCGGCATGGTCACGACTTGCGTCATAATTCGCAACACAATGAGTTTTGCAATCAATTACGGCATTACTCCTTGGTTGAATCACATGGGTTATCGCGACACATACATTATTGTTGCAGCGATTGGATTTGTCTGGAATGCTAGCATTTTTGTTGTTACCAAGTACGGCAGGCGAGCCAGGGAGAAGAGTGCAGAGAGATACTGGCGTGATGTAGCAAAAGCACATGCCAAGGGGTTGAGTCATTGACTGATGGATTGCGCAGAGCCGTAGTGCGAAGTCCATAAGAGCCACAAAAGGCGGCTGGCACACGGACAGATCCTCCAATATCGGAGGTTACTCCGGACCAGATGACCGATCCATGTCAAACAGATATGATTACAATTGAACGTTATTGGGCAATCATAAGAAGCAAATGCGACCTCCATGCAATGCCATGATTGGGCTTGGCACAATGACCTGTCATGGTACACTTGCTGAGGCCTCGCAAGTCATGCGGATAGTGACTGATGCTGCTACTTGTCTTATCAAGATCGCCTCGGTTGCGTTGCATTGCAAAGAAACCCTATGGTCGAACGGAAAGTTGTCGGCCTAGCCTGGTCTTGAATCTTGATAGAGGATAAAGCCTCAACGGGCAATTGTAGAATCCAGTTCACGCGAATTCGAGACATTAGCAGTGGGAAGGAATCGAATGAGACATCGAAAAATGGCAAACTGGAGTCAACAAGAGAGTCAAGTTGCATTCAGAGATCTTGTTGTTTGGAAGATGTGGTTTCAGCTTGTCTTTGACATCTCAAGCATTGGGAAAACGTATTATTAGAGTAGGGGTTACTCTTCATTCTCTTTCCGGACGAATAAATAGGGCTTATCACCTTTGTCCTTGGTGTTTGAATAATTGGAATCATGTCCTTGCATTCCTGGTGAACCAAATCGACTTCTTTTCAAAGCTATACCGTTCTGTAGATAGCTTGGATTTGGTTCCAATTTCTCAGCGAAAGAATTGGGCAAAGGACATGGCTTCATTTCACTTTTCCTGGGCCTAAATACTGTACCCAGTCTGAGACTTTTGGATCCCCTTTGCCCTCCACGCCACGATGGTTGAGCTACAAACTCAGGAGAAATAATTTTAAGAATTGGCATGTCCTAAGGTATTTACTGAGCAGTTCAGTACGATAACACTTATTCTATTTGGAATCTATTTGGCCCGCCGGCTTTGTGTCGTTACCGAAATAGTCGCCGGCATAGCTGGAAAAACTTAAAAAAGGTCCCCTGCATGAAGGTTGTCTTAGATAGGTAAGACATTTCTTAGCTCCCGAGGCTTTTCCGATACCCGGTCTACACTCAGACGTCATTGCAGATCCTACTGCTGACCACAACCATCCTGCGACCCCTTCGTGTCCTTCTTCGACACCGCGCTTGTCGTGCACCTCCGACGTGGCTGTTGGTCGTTTATAGTGTTTGCTTATATTTGTCGCTACCTGCCCCGACATGGTTTGTCGGGTAGCAAGTTCTGCGGCCAATGATATGACGGAGACGGAGCGTCTTTTGCGTCCGGCGTTTGACGAAGAGACTTACGAGGACGATTCATCTAGCCTTGTCCCTGGCTTACATGACATATACGAATATCAGCAGGACAAGATAGGCTTGAAAGTGGCCGCGACTGCCTGGTCGTTCATTGTTCTGGGACTATTCGTATCTACAATCGGCGTCATAATACCTCATCTCCAGCAAGATTATCAGCTCAGTGACATACATGTGTCTTCGATATTCCTCGTTGGCCCGGTTGGCTACTGTTTCGCTTCATCGCTGAGCAACCGCGTTCACCTAAGACTCGGGCAGAGGGGTATAGCCATCATTGGCCCGGCATGCCATTTCTTTTATGCGGCCACTGGCGCACTTCATCCCCCATTTTCAATGTTCCTTGTTAGTGTCGGCATCGGCTCGTTTGGTATGGGACTCCTGGATGGCTCTTGGTGTGCCTGGGTCGCCGGACTAAAAAGTGCAAACACAATGTCGGGCATTTTGCATGGCTCGTTTTCGATTGGCGCCGCTATCTGCCCATACATTGCCGGCATTCTGTTTTCGAAAAGCAATGGCCTATGGTATCAGTGGTTCTATGTATTGGTACGTGGTTTATGAGCATCATCCACCAAAACTCACTAGTGGTTTACTGACTATGCGTCTCAGTCATTTGCATCTGCCTTGGAAGCCCTGGTTCTGTGCCTAGCATTCAGACACGAAGACGCTGAGAGATACCACAACAATAAATCCGATCCCAATCAGCAACTTCTCGTACAACTAGACCAGAGGCAAATTCTGAATTACAGTGCCACCTGGGTTTACGCAGCATATCTCCTCGCAGACGTGGGTACTGAGAGTACAGTATCCGGCTGGGTCGTGGCATTCATGTTACGCGTTCGGCACACTAGCACATATGCCTCGAGTGTTTGTTCTTCGGGCTACTGGGCAGGCATGGCAGTTGGCCGTTTGGCTTTGGGGTTCGTGACAGACAAGCTAGGCCCTCGCCGGGCAGTAATCATGTATCTTCTCCTTACGCCAGTCTTCGTCGTTCTTTTTACACTTGTCCAAGCTTTGTGGGTATCTGTGCTAGCCATGTCGGTTGTTGGATTTTTTATGGGACCGTTGTTTCCATCCTGTATTGTTCAATTGGTCAACCTTTTACCAAAAGGACTCCATGTTGGGGCTGTTTCTTTTGTGGCCTCGGTCGGCCAGATTGGCGGGGCGATACTTCCATATCTTCTGGGAGTTATTACGCAGGCGATAGGCCTGTGGGTGTTTCCTTACATGCTCCTAGTGCAGTTCTTGGTCATGCTTCTCATCTGGATGTTGTCATTGACGCTTTCTAGAAAGGAGGTTGAAGTTGAGGAAGAGAGGCAGGCTTACCAAGCTCAATGAGACTGCACCGCCCTCCCATATCATTTCCTACGAAGCTATGGCAGAGACAATATGTACGCAGGTTCTATCTCAAATATTGAATTGCATACAGAATGGTGACCTGACAGCCGCTGTTTGTTGCATGCCAAGGAAGAGTATGCGGTACGGCATCAAGAAATTTAGAGCCGAGACAAGGGCCTTTGACATTAAGTACCGACACGGTCCAAATAGAGCACTGGATAAGTACAAGTGATCATTTGAATGAAATAAGATGAGTTAATCAGACCTCATTTTCTATCTACTTTACCCTAATATAGTGTCTCTTGTTCTCTGAGGCATTCTCTCGATTTTATTCGTCCTCTGAGTAAGACTCCTCCGATCTGGACCGATCCTTCCTTAACAATAGAAGTCTAGTCATTAATGTCCTTGCCGTGTACGTATCCAACTTAGTAGCATTAGCTTGCGTATACGCTAGGCGCGTACTATGGGGAATACGAAAGAGTGCTCAGATGACGACCTGCTTTATCCTGGCGATGCCGATTTTGCTCCAGTCCAAAGACAATAGAGTATCAGGACGCACATGGCCAAAATCTTCAAAATCAAAATATCAAGATCTACCTGCTCTGACTTAGGTATGTCGGTGCCTCTACATGTATTATGTCAGCTTCCTCCAAGCATTTCAACATTGCCCCCGAGATATGTACCAAACAGCAGGACCAAATTCGTTGCGAGGGAGCCCGTATCGGAACTGTTGAACCGGTTGAAGAGGTAGGCTATATTCTTGGCCATATTAATGAGCTGGAATAGTGTTCCGACAGCTGTAACCTGGCAGTTCAGTTCAGGACTGGTGGAGGACATTATCTTTTGGGAGGTAAGTCAATCCAGCTACAGAGTAAAAGCATGAATACAAGTTGCATACGGTTGCCAATATTATTGAGATCCTCATTCATAATGCAGCCACTGGAACGTCTGAGAATGCTTTCATATGCGGCCATGTCAATGGAACAGAAGAGGGAGGGAAATGACACATTTCAGGCGAAGCCTTTGCAAGTTCTCCTTCATCATTGGCAGCGGAGTTAAGAACACCACTGTATATCTTCATATGAGCTCACAGCTTCCGATTTAGGACCTCGACCTCTTACGACATCGTTTCTTTCCCTTTCTCTTTGTAGTTCTGACATCAGCGCCCCACCTGCTCATGATAACAAGCGACCAAATATGTGAAGGGTGCATTGCCGCCTTGAACAACGACAATTGGCGGATGATTTGCATTTCCCCAATCTAGTATTTTATCCACATACGTTTTCTCGTGAGGTGTGGATCGGCACCCGGATAGAAGTCGTCGTCATCGTCGAAGGTGTACGCAGCAGGCGTCGGGCTCATTTTCCGAGTCTTCATATGACGGTTCGGCGGTGTCTTGGGTGCATCGAGACCGGCCGAAAGACCGGCCGAGTGGACGGACTGGGGCCCATCAGAGGACTTTTGAGTAACATGCTCGGTCTGTCTGACATGTTCGGTATGGATTTTCTGGCCGCCTTGCTCGGACGTGCGCTCGTGATCGAAACGGCAAGCAAAGTGAGGGAGAACTAGACCATGGTTAGAATTCCAAGATAAGAAGGAGGGACCCCGGATATGTATCACGCATAACAACGGGCTGTAAGAGGAAGGACCGAAGCTTGATGACGCAAGAGTGAATGCTGGGGTTGGCTGGGTCGGAGGTTTGAACCAGGCGAAACGTACCTTGGGCGACCAGAATATTAGCGGCCTCGGCAGCCTTGATTTGATGATAAGCCAAATCTCCTGCGACTTAAAGGTTAGCGTCATATCGCAACCAAGCTTGCGGGATTGCATGATGCGAAGATCTGCCGATCGGTGATCGACGTGGCAGACGCCGCAGACGCGTGGGTGCCGGGACCGGCATGTGAATCAGCGGGGAAACGAAACCTCTCGAAAGATTAACTTTGATGATAGAGATACATGTACATACCGAAACCTAGTAAAGTCGCAGAGGAACGGGCCGATTCCGTGGGGGTGAAGGGTCTCGCTGACGGGTTCAAATTGGGGATCTGAGATTGGTGCTGAGAAGTAAAAGCGTTGCCGCTCCTAGACTCGGAACCAAGGGAAGACATTCTCATATTTTTTCGGTACTCTTCTGCAGTCGCTGCTTGCATTTGACGATGGCTTGGTTGGTTGTTTGTTACGAAATGTGGGGAAGTTTCGGGAATTCGGCCTCGCAACATCTCATATCTCAGAGAAGTTTGGTAATAGAGGCGAGTGCTACGTTGCGTTGCGTTGCGTTGCGCCGCGTTGCAATGTAGTTGGATGGATGAAAGAAGAAGGAGCGAGATTAATTGCTGAGGTCAGTATTTCTTCATTGGCATTAGGTCCTGTGATCCAGCTTCTGTTGCTGTGATGAATATACAATTGCTACTTGTTGCATCATCATGGGAGTATTAAACCATAGTGGGGTTTGCTTCTGATCTTGTGTGTCAGGGCAAACGGGCGATGAGAGTACGCAAAGTTCACCGACGCGTTCACAATGAGGTTTTCGTATCTTTGCTTCCTTTGGATTGCATTTGACTGTTCCTTTTCTTCCTGGCCGCTGGAATCAGAAATTCCACGAACAAGAAAGAGTCTTAGCGCACCACTCTACTGTCGTTTACCATGAGCCGATTATGTTCCTTGTCAACTATGTACTAGCATTGGCAGCAGACATGGATGTACATCTCGGAACCAAAGCTATATACAACAAATAGTAGAAGGGTAGCCTATCTGTTTATCGATTTTCTACTACACGCGATCAGCGCACAATGTTTCCATTGTCGTTTCCTTCTATACACGTTGATAGCCGAGACCATAGTCTCTGCATTCTTTCTCTTGCTAATTTGAATGCTGTCTTCCCTTTCCACCTAAGTTCAAACTTCTCTCCTGGGGCTTGCTTCAATTGTATTGAAACTTCGAAAGCTGCCGGTCCCAAATAACAGACTGAGTCATCGAGGGCCAAAAGCAAGGTGGCCAAATATCATGAACACCGACATTTTGAGTTTTCTATCCGAAATTGATATGAGTAGCAAAGCTCGATAAATGTACGGTATCCGGGTGCTAGTAATTGTAATCAGTCTAGGTGTTTGAATAACATTTCAGCATGGTTCGCACGCATGAGTCAGCAGCCAGAAGGTCTATATAAATGGCTATTTTCAGCCAGCTAGACTTAGTTAATTCATGCCTTTACATGCCTTCAAAGAACAGTCTTGTTGATGCATCAACCTCATCTATAGTCCTTCCAACATTGATCAATGCCTCAAGGGCATAGATGAACTAGGAAGAAGAGATATCTATACGTACGTATGTGAATACGTACGTGTAAATATGCTAAGAACACGTGGATATGAAGGCATTGCAGCTGCAGCGTTGCTGTTGACGGGCGCCTTCTAGCTACTTCTAGAAAAGGGGCAATATTCTCACGACGTTGTCGGCCTTGGATTTTTCCTTCTATTTCTAGGCGTCTATTACGCATTATTTTTATTCCTGCTACATACAACCTAGACTAACACATAACCCACGACGTTGTCGCCTGCCTATCCTCTATTCAATCACGGAGTTACTGTCGCTATCAACCATGAGACCTCTTTCAGGCCCTTCTCAGCTGGACCTCTGTCAGCAACTTCGAACCCCCCAGCTAATAACGTACGAGACCGACCAGGCAATCTTATACCTAGAAGAGACACTATTCCCAACCTTTCTAGAGGGCTTAGAAAGGGCAGACTTAACTATCTATGAGGATTAGTTATCATGGTTCAAAGGGATTCAATTTGCACAAATTAATCATAAAGTCATCCGGTAAATCTGACAATTTCTTCATACCCACGGAATCGTCCAGAAAGACCATACACCAACAGTTGAGCTCTTCCAGCAACTGGCAAAGGAAAGAGGGAATCACAGAGTATAAGGGAAACTAGTCAGGAGGAAGAAAAGGATGTACCCGGGGGTGTTAGTCAGCCTTCGTCAAAGCTAAACAACCCCTCCTCACGGAGGGGGTATTTAGCTCACAGCGTTGACTAAGTTACCCCCGGGTATTTAGGTTCTACCGACTCAGTCGTGCGAAAGTAAAAAGGGTGAGTGTTGGAATAACATTTCAGCATGGTTTGCACGCATGAGTCAGCAGCCAGAAGGTCTATATAACTGGCTATTGTCAGCCAGCTAGACCTTGACATGCCTTCAAAGAACAGTCTTGTTGATGCATCAACCTCATCTATAGTCCTTCCAACACTAGGAGAGGTAAGCTCAGAGCGCAGGGATTGCTTACCCGCTATCGGTAATTGAGACTCATTCGAATCAATACAGATGGAGCTATTAGCTCCGAAGTCAGCCATGCTAAGCACTTTGCAAGGTTTTGGGCCCCGAAATTTGATTCCCTGAAGATGTTGAAGAAACGATCCCAGCGATCCCAATCTCTTCACCATCCATTCAACTTAAGCCCGGTCACAAGACTCCTCCGTTCGAAAAGAGTTCGGAGAAAGCTGTACATCTCCTACAACCAGGACATAAGCTTGCTTCATTGTAAGCTTGACGGCGACACTGGCACATGCACAGAACCCAGACGAAAGAAGATTGCAGGTTGACGCCGAGGCCGTTGATATCTTGCGTATCCGCTGGTACACACCATCAATGTCTACCCCGGTACCCCCAAAATCCAATTTTGATCGATTCCGTCAGTTCCGGGACCCGCCTCGGGCGGTGCTCCGATGCGGCCAGCGGCAGCGGCCCGGAAAACAGGATTCGTTGCGATAATTGCTAATCAGTCACCGGCTTGACTTCCTTTTTCGTTCAGTTGATGCCACCTTTCGAGATGGTGGAAAGCCGGAGCGCGTACCAGTTCGCGGGGATTCGGTTGCACAGTTGAAAGAATAGGCAGCTGTGTGGTTTTACATCAGCATCTGTCATCCTAGTAAATTAGGCGCGTTTGCGCCAAGCCGTGACAACAATCTTCCCTCTTCATATAACCGCTGTATTTAGGCATCAAGAGCTCCCCACCTTAGGATGGCTGTATGATGTGCTTTCCGTCTTGAGCATCTCGCGAGTCTTGGTACAGGTTTCTGCTTGCTTTTGACCTGTGACGTGGGGTTGCAGCGTTCGAGACCTGATTCTGGACAAGGGTTAGCTGTCCGCATCTCCGCCGTTTCCCCCACGATCATCCAGGCCCATGGCACTTTCAACTAGGGGCGGCATAGTGTACTGACAAGACAAGCACACCCGGCAGTACCCACATGTCGCGGGGTCGGAAATGAAACCACTCGAGCCCGGTTCTCGAGGTTAACTATATTGCGTTGCAGCCATTTCGGAATCACCTAGACCTTCCCCTCTGGGTATGTGGTGGCTACAACTGAGCCTTGGCACATCATCCTAGCCCGCTCAGAGGCAGAAACCGCATCCCACGCGCAGCTTGTTGTTCGGAAGACTTCGGTTGAGACGATACGTGGTTGCGTTAGTGTTGTCGTTCCAAGGATCCACCCCGGAAGCTTGAAGAAGCATCCCTCTAAGACGCTTCCGTTCTCCCTGTCAAGGTGAGGAGGGTGAGGCCTCATGGCCACGATTGTCTTGCCGATCAGTGATACATGCCGGTAGCCGGCAGTCAATGTAACGGTGCGCCACATCGATCGCAGGCTTAGTCGCGACAGCAGACCTCTGTCCTAACCGGGGAGTCGAGCCCCACTCCGCTGGCCGAGCCGTCGTGGGCGTTTGCTCGATTTCATTTGTGGACTTGGAGCGAAGAGACGGCAACAAACAGCCCAAACGGCGTGATTGCATCAATCCCAGCAGGATCAAAATGGGCTTGATGATGGAACATGCAGCGTGTTGCAGGATTCTGCCCGGTTTATGGCGTACTCGGCGAGGGCGCTGTCCACTTTGTTGCGCAGGGTTATCAAGCGGTTTCCTGTTCAAGAAGTTCGCGGTCAAGTCACCCGCGACCCAACAAGGACATAACATCTAGAGAAGTGAGCGCATTTCATTAATACCTTCTCCGTTCGGAATAAGCTTGTCCGTGTCTCAGTCTCTAATAGTTGTAATACTGTAAATGTCACAATATATAAGCTACTATTACTGCCCACGTAACTAACGGTATCGTTTTATTACGTGACAGTTATAAGCCCAGCTCCCACCTGCTATATGCCATAATAGTATATGTGTCAATTTAATAAGTGCAGTAACTAGCTATAGATCTTAAGCACCATATGTTTAATTCCCATTAGGGTTAGTCCCCTGGTCAAAGATCCTCCCAAAGTCTATATAGATCTTCACCACATATGATTGGCGAGCTGAACCCGACTAGGTTTTGATCAAATTGGGTTCAGATCTGACATTCTAGATCAAATCTTAGGGGGTATATTATAATATATAAGCTACTATTACTGCCTACGTAACTAACAGTATTATTTTGTTATGTAACGGTATTGTTTTGTTACATGACAGTTATAAGCCTAGCTCCTACCTGCTATATACTATAATAGTATTTATGTTAATTTGATAAGTGCAGTAACTAGCTATAGATCTTAAGCACTGTGGGTTTAATTCCTATTAGGGTTAGTCCCCTGGTTGAAAATCCTAATAAAGTCTATATAGATCTTCACTACCGATGACTAGCGAGATGTACCTAACTAGGTTTTCACCAAAAGTGTGTTCAGATCTGACTTTCTAGATCAAATCTGAGGGGTATGTCATAATATATAAGCTACTATTACTGCCTACGTAACTAACGGTATTGTTTTGTTATGTGACAGTAGATGTGTGGAGCTTGGTGCCTGCTAGCTGCATAAGGACTAACGCTGCATGCAACATCCTTGCGGATAAACTTGCTTTTCGATGCAACTCAAGGCGGCAATATGTGATTTTGAGGTTGTTTTCATTCCTGCATTCGATTCCTGCATTGAATCAAGGGAGGAGGTCAAGTAGAGCTTCGAGTGTGGTAAAAGGGACGTTGAGCGCCACGGCCCAAGGGAGGTCTGGACGGATATTTAAAGACTCAATGACTCGCAAGCTAACTGATGACTATATCTGAAGATCTCAGGAGCATTCACTCCTTCAATATAGGAGGATTTGGAACTGTCTGCCCTTTATTTGGCAACCTTCT